GAGGAAATGTACAAATCTCTCTTTTGATCTCTTCCAACCCAAAATAAGCATCCTACACTGAATGAAGGGAAGCACAATCCTTGGCTGAGATAATTTTTAATGAGATCATTCAATGAGATCATTTTTAAATCAAGCCCCCCAAAACACTGAACACTTCCAATTTGCACTAAACACATCAGTTTCATTCTTTTTCTGCACAGTAGGATAAAATGTGGTGTTATGACTAGCTGTATTTTATGGGAAAAATCTCCTGTGCCCATCCCTAAGCTACCTAACTTTCTGAGGAAAACATTGAAAATTGCAAATTTCTCCCTTAAGATCTTATACCACTGTTGTACCAACAAATCTAATCGCACTTGCCACACTACTTTTTCAGATACTTATCTGAAGAGAAACGATGTTCCCCTAAATCAGCTTTTTAATATAAACACACATGTGTGTGCTGTTTATTGTACTTTAAAAATACAAAAAAAAAAAAAAAAAAAAAAAAAACCAAAAAAAGTGGAGCGCAGAGAAAGTTCTTCAAACTGCATTTGGAGAGTGACCTAAGATGTGGGAAAGTTGTCTATTGCTTATGTTATTTTTTTCACCCACTTTTGAGTGCTTTGAGGCTACATTTCCCCTGAGTTATGACAGATATTGCCACCCACCTTAGTTCTTCCTGCCTCTGCCCTAACAGAACCTCTTTGTTGTTTTATCTAATCAGATTCAGAGGCCCTGCTAGAGTTGGCTCTTTCAGACTTTTCAAAGCGGTTATATTTCTTATTTCCCAGGCTTCAGAAGAACTAAAAATAACCAAGTGAAAATCTGAAATGCAAAGCTAACATTCCCGCCAGTGCTAAGCAGATATATTGACAGGATCAACAAAAGATGTTACAGATCTGAAAAATTTTAATAAATCAGAATGCTTCCTTTTTCTCTGCAGAATTTTCTGAGTTTGATCTTTCCTAAGCCACCAAGAAATTTTTATAAAAATATTTACCTTAACTGTTTCTGAACAGAACACATGCAGTATGTTTTCACACAAAGAGAAAAACTTACTACAAAACTTTCTATATGCAAAGGAGAATATTCAAGGCAGATGAGGGTTTACAGTTCAAGTGATCTCAGGTGGAAGCGACCCAAGTTGTTTCTCCAGTCTCACAGAGCAGGAATTGTAAGCATGTTGCCTGATGCTAAGAACTGGTAATTTTCACTGGCAAAGAAGGATCTACAGTAGGCACAAGGCAGCATCATTCAAGTAAATCAAAAGTGCAACAGTTAGTCAAACCAGCCATGTTTTTACCTATCTTTGCATAATAATTTTCCCAGGATTTCTCAAAAGCAACAGAAGGTATCTTGCTCCACTAGCTGGATTACACAGTGGAGCAACATTTTCCAACAAATTTATAGAGAATCGGGAAATTAAAGAAAAAGCAGTGTTAAATGTTGGCAAATGCAATTTAATCTGAGAGAATGATAAGCACCTTTAATTATTGACTGCAAACAATCACCCTCTTGAAAGAATTTTTAATTGCTTACAGTTGCTGGTGATAGGAGAGTTTCCTCTATGATGGTGAAGGATTTATTCCTGCAGCCAGTAATTACAGCAATTTTGCACTCTTCCACAGAAACTTAAAACTTGGCCGTACAGGGCACAACATTTAGGCAATTAAACATTTACACAAATAAGCCAGAGGGAGGATCCATTTTCAAAAAGCATGAGAAACAGTGAATGTCTGTTAACTTCCAGAAAACGGGAAATGGCCAGCAACAGCCCAGCTTCCAAACTCCAAACTTTGCGGCTCCCTTCAAAGGATGCAAGAAGAAATAAGATTTGTGACCAGTCTGAGTCTCTGGAATAATTTGAAACATGACACAGAATTTAGTTCTCAGCCCACAGAGAAAATTCACGATGGAAAAAAAACCATACCGTGAGACACTGAGTTTGGGCTACTGTAACTGAATCAACCAAAAATCCAACCCTTGGGATCAGGGGATTTGTTATCAGTGACGGAACAAAATGAGACCTGCAGCGAACCAAAAGTGAAAGCATTAAAAATGCTCTTTTGAACTACAGTTATAGTTAGGTTAACTATTTTGTAACTAATCCTACTTTGACTACCATTTTCTCCCATATGGAGTACAGTTACACACTTTTTGTTTGTTTTCTGTGCAATTTCTAGTTATGGAAGGCTTTTCTTTTTCCTGATGTGCATACTGGAAAGGGCTTTTTATTGCATCGTCACTTAAGGAAGTCTCATCACGGTGAGCATACACAGAAAATGCAATTTTAACTTTAGTTCACCACTGTTTGTTTCCTTTTGATTCAGTAGGAAACTGTTAACCCCTAAAAAAACATAACCAAGAAAATGGTGAAATATTTATTATCATAATCTTGTATTTCACATATTTGCAGGCTCAGAATTGAAATACTATCTGATGCAATGCTTCAGCTAAAGTGAATGCAGCAGAGGCTTTGGTTTTTATTTGGTATCTTTTTCCCCATTGACTTTTATGGACAATACAAAACTAAAATTAGCAGAATAAAAGTGTGGATATTTTATTCCTTTTAATTTTGCCATTAATCTTTGGAAATTAATAATCCGTGAAGCCTCATATTTTTGCTGTTTAGCAAGAAAAACAAATGCACTGTGTGTGCAATACCACATATTTAAATGAGAAGCCAATGATTACAGCAGGAAAATTTGGCTTCATAGAAGACAACAAAGGCTTCCCACCCATGTCAGCAGAGCCTGAAATTTACCTTATAATTTGGGACTCTGTCCAGCAGGATCTATTTTAGCATTTGCATCCATCATTCTGCTTTATTAGCACTGCTGCCCAAATGGCCCAAATGTTCCTGGCTGAAATTCATTACTAGCCCCACTCTGACATTTTTTAAGTTCTGATGTTAAGAGCTCTTGAGAAAATTGCTCCAACTGGTTGGCATTAGAAGGAAATGAAAATCTTTTAAGTGGCTATTGTGCATATTATTTGAATGCACTGGATGACATTTCAACACCAGGCAATGCCTCCTCTCCACCACAGTCATCAAGAGTGGTTTAGGTTTTTTTCTTTCCCATATGGGCACTGAGGTTTCCAACAGCACTGATCCCTCTGCACATTCTTCTATACTTTGTACAAGGCTCTTTGAACATATTTCAGCAAACAGAAAAGCTTCAATGTGCAACAGTTTTTAGCAGCTTGAAGGACTGAGCCCTTGATGTGATTATTTGATCATATATGAAGTAACTCTCATGATCAATGAGTGATGTCACAGCTATCACTTTGAAGTTAATAGTAAAATTTGCATTGGCTTAAATCTGAGCAGGATCAAGGCATGAAGCATGACTGACATTCTTTTAATTAATTTCCATATTTCTTTTTTAATTCTCATGCCTCACTTCATGCTTTTTCATGCAACAAGAGAAGAGTAAATGTTGAAAATTGATGTTTTCACCATCAGTGGGCTGTCGTGTGTAACAAATTGTTCTAGTATATTAGTTTATGTGGGCATTCTGTCCTTGATCACCTCCCACATTTCCCACAGGCAGCAGCAGAAGTTGCACATAAAGATGAAAAAAATACTTTGCAAACAGAAACATAATACTACATCTGCAGACAATAGGCCTGATTGAAAGAAGTGCTACAGCACCTTTAGCAAAGTAATTCCCATAGACTTGTGTGGAAAATACAGAACCTGTATTTCTTTGCTTCTTTGAATTTAAACTGTAGTTTATACTAGCATTAAAAATCTGGGATACATAAAGGCTATATTGGAAGCGCTGTCTTTATCTCCCAAGCTAGCAGGAAATGAGAGGCAGTAATAGGACTTTAACTGGTTTCTCACTTGCAATGAGTATCCAAACACTCGCTGAAGAAAACTTCCTTTCAAAATCTTTTCATTCCAAGTCTGCTGAACAGAGAATCAAAACGTGTGTGTGTGTGTGTGTGTGTGTGTGTGTGTGTGTGTGTGTGTGTGTGAACAAAGTCCATTTGTATTCTTAAGTGAACTTGTTTTATTTTGCCATTGACTAAATGCTGGCATAAAAATTCCTGAAGCAACGTGACTCTCACAACAAACACAAGTGACAGACCCTCGCTGGAGAGCACATGCAAGCACAGACTGCAATTGTTCTGTGGTTATTTGAGAGGCAGTGGTCAGGGAAACAGGGGTCATTAATTTCCCTGCGTGTTTTAAACAGTTCCAGAGATGTGCTAAAATGTACTAAAAGCACAACGGCCGACATCTAAGGCTGAGACATTAGGAAAACTTTAGAAAGGGATTTCTGTGAAAAAGCGAGAAGGGATGCTTTGAGTTTGACCCTTGCATTAGGGAATTACACACACTTTTAACCCTTTCCTTGTTGTTCTTCCTGAAGATCAGTTGAACGACTTCTGGAGACGTGCTTGGGTCGAAGCGGAAGGAAACCTGCTCCGACCGGGTGGCCGCGGGGTGTTATAGCTGCCGAGGGCCTTCGGTGCCCGCTCGGTGGGGCGAGCGCGACTCCAGGCCGGCTCCTGAGGCCCGGACATGGAACCTGCTCCAGCCCCGTCCCCTCACCGCCCAGGGACCTCCCGCCAGGGGGCGCCGCTCCGCCCGCCGCCCCTTCCGCCGCTGCCGCCCGTCAATGGCGCCCGGGCTCGTCCCGGTCCCGGTCCCGGTCCCGGTCCCCTCGCGTGTCCCTCGGAGGGCATGCGGGCATGGCACCCCGTCCCCTCCCATCCCGCGTGGCCGCTCCCGTGCCGTGTGTCCCGCGGCGGGGCGGGCGGAGCAGAGGGAAGCCGGTGGATCTGGCGGAATCACGTGGCGCGGTCCCTGCTGGCGGGCGGGACGGTGGCCGGGAGGGTTTCCCGGGCAACCGCGCCGCCGGCGAGCGGGGCGGCCGCGCTGCGCGGGGCCCGGCGCGGTGCAGGTGCGTGCCCGGCGCCCGGGCAGCGCTCGGCTCCGAGCCGCGGCCTCTTTCTTCCCTCTCCCGCTGCTCCCCGGGCGCCCGTCGGGCCTTGGAGCCGGGCCCGGTCCGCCCGTCCCCGAGCCCCGCGCTGCCGTGCGCCAGCCGCGCCTGTGCTCCAGGGAAAGCCGGCGGAGGAGGAAGAGGATCGGGTCACGGCTGGGATGATTGAAAGGTTACGTGAAATGTGTTAGGCTGTTTAAGCTTTCCTCCACCCCCGTGGTTTAGCCATACCTCTCAAAACTTCCGCTGTTTGCGCTGTGTTGTAGTTTATTCCCCGGCCAGTGCCGCCTTTGTTTTGTGCGCGAAGTCGTTTGTGAGCCGCCCGGTCTGAAGATACGGCTGAAAAGTATATCTGCTAAGGTTAATGTTTGCCTCTGATCTTCTGTTACTGAAACGGTAAACATGTTTGTTGTCCTTCAGGTTACATATTATTAGTTTTTATAAAAGATGTAATTATAGGGTAGGCAGAAGAAAGCCGTCATTCTAAGGTAGGAAGAAGTAAGCATAATGTCAGGAGAATCACTTTGTTTTTCTGGCAAAGCTAGAATTAAATATTCCCCACTTGCTAAAGCAACACGCACCGTTAGTAAATTGCTAAAGCATCCTGTGTTTAACATCAAGTGTTCTTTGATGTGAAAGTATAAAAGGATACTGGATTATGTGTGCCCTGAGAGGTAATGTTCTTAATCTCCTTACCATGTTTTAGAGATATTGTCCAAATGCTTACGTAAGGATATCGTGCTGAATCCAACGCCTGGGCAGTCTGCTATATAACTTCTTTTTTTTAACTGCCAAAGCCAAAGTGTCGGGTGGTCTATGGATGGATAAGGAGTGAAAGCAGGAAACAGTTGTCACAACTCGCCTGTCAAAATCAATTTACTAGGTAGGTAACAGTCCTGTGTACTGAGTGGGCTCCATGCCGGGAGAAGTTTTATTTAATGGTAAAAGCGCTTTTGCAAATGTTTAGCCCTTTTATGTTTACATCACACTTCTCAGGCGGGGAGATGCTAGTGCAGTTTAATGCTGCCGTACATATGCAGTTTTGAAGGCAGCCATATGTGTTGAGCAGTGTGATACACAAAAGCTTTTCAGCCTTTGGGTTGTTGGGCATATTTTGTACCTGAGGAGTTGATGCACACTTAGGGGAAGGAGAGGGGGGCAAGTGTCATTTGCTTTCAGCCTCAGGGCAGTTCAAACCAAATGCCATTCCCTAACCTTAAAAAGCTTTACATGTATTTATTTATTGTTTACTAAATCCAAAACACAGCAGAGATGATGAAACGAAGCTAACAATGCCAGATGTCCCCAGTGTTGCAGAAGAAACATAGAAAGGAATTAAACACCTTTCAAATAGAAATATTACTGCAGTAGATTCTCATTTGATTATTAACAGAATGTTTAATTGTGTTGCTAAGAAAGTTAGTTTTTGAAGAAAACTGTAAAGATGCTGAAGTGAATCATTTTATTTATCCCTCGAAGTTTAAATGCTAAAGCTGGTGTTTTGGAAAAGAGTATTTTGCTTGTAAGGAATTTGGGTGATATAGGTACATTTGCACTGATTGTCTCAGTGCATAGTTTGGTAAGGAATGAGAGAATGGTGTTTGTCATCTCTTAAGTTTTGGAGTGAGGTATTTTTTGCTTGTAGCTCTATTCAAGCAAATCATTAGGTTACATCAATTTCAGAATACATTTAATTAACTTCAATTTAAATTTTAGTTTTTTTAGACTCAGTTGTTTGGAAGGTAAAATCCAACTGCAAATTATGGCTCATCGATTTTCAAAGGAGGAATTAGATGAGCAGTTTGAAGAGTTTCTGAAAGAGGTATGTTTGAGAACAAGGTCACATGCCTGTTCTCTATTTTAAAATGGGGGAAGTTAAGTATGGAAGAATATGAAATGTAAGATTCAGCTGTGCTTTTATCACATAATTAACATAGCTATCTCATCTATTGGTCTTTGCAATGTCTTAATTGCCAAGCTAAATTCATACTATTTTCTTGTATTGAAATCAAGAGAAGAGTTTTGTAATTAAATAAGTATTTTGTCATTGCCTGATTGTATCTTCAGAAAGAGCCCTTGGTTATTGATTTTTGTTTCAGTTTTATTGTTGGTGCTCCTTAGTACTAGAAGCTTCAAATTGATGTATAATTGAAAATGAGGTAAAAAAATCTGCTTATATATACACACAAGTTACATTTTAAAAATTTATGTATTTTTCTGTTCAGTGCTTACTCTCACTGAATTATATATAAAAATTCTTGTGTAAAATGAAGCATCTTGTAATGACTAGAAAATTTGAATTAGATTCCTTTAATTCCTCATGGAGGAATTAAATTAATAAAACTAATTAAAGGAATTAGATTCCTTTATTTCCTCATGGTGCTTCATGGTTTTCAGTACTAGCAAAATCATGCAAGTCTATGGGTTGTGACTTAAGCTAAGGATAATCAGACATGATCTGAATGCCCTGACTAGATGTGTTTTTTTCAATGCAAATTAGACCTGTAATTTCAGAACTTGCCCTCTGGTCTGTAAGAACACAGTATGGTAACCCTAAAACATAAATACTGTTATGTAAGGCCTTTACTAGATTTTAATTCTGTATATAAGTTTAACTAATGATGGCAGAGAATATTTCTGGAGTCTCTGTTATATGTAATGTATGCTTGAATTTTTTTTTAAAGTAGAGTCTGTGTTACAATTTAATGACTTGCGAAAAGTAATGATGTAACTAAGTTAGCACTCTTGAACTTACTGAAATTATTAATGTGAGTAAAATTATAAAACTAGTCTTTGCATTTCCTTCAGAATTCTTTACTTACTATTGTTACAAAGGGAGTTGCTCTGGGGAAGAGAAAGGAGTTTTATTCTTTTATTTGTTATGCACGTCTGTCAAAACTCTGCATGTGATTGCTTCTACTATTTTATTCCTCATTTGACATGCTCTTCTTCCTCCTCAGCTATTGCTCATACAGAGAATGCTCATTAAAAAAAAAATCCAAATAACTATTGAATTATTATAAGTGGCATTTGGAATATCCCAGAGAATGTAACTTTAACAATTCATATCTTAATTTTTTTATAATTTCAATCCAAAGCTATTTTCAAACTGCTAATCCAGTTATTAAAAATATTCATTATGCTTTTTGCCAGCTAGGTACGTACCCAAATAACAATTATGTTGTCTACTCTCTGTTATTTTTACACAGGCATCTTCTGCTATGTCCTTCTCTTTGCTCTTGTTTTATATAAAAAGTGTTTGGCCTTTTAATATTAGAAAGATGAGAAACTGATGTGCTCCATTTCTTGAAATCTCTCTGTAGGTGATCTTTGTGTTGAGAGTGTCACAGCAGGTGGGGAGTAGTAAAATCTGCTTCTCAGTAGTTTGGGGAAGACTAAATGTTATTTAAGCAAATCTTTCAAAGAGGAAATGGAGCAGGATTTTTCCATTTTAAATAACTCTTGATGAATCTGTGGGATGAGGCTGTGTATGTATGTTTGTGATTAAAACATATGAAGTTAAAAGACTGTATATACAGCTGGATGATGCAGGTCTAATATGAGGATTAAACTAAGTCTTTTGGTATATACACTGAACTTTAAAAGCTATCAGTGGATTTTCTAGACTATTATCATTATACAGGAGGAAATACAAATGTGTAGTAACAATGACTGCCTGTAGGATAAATCCTTTAATGATTCCCTCTGCCTGGTTATGCTTTTTCCCAACCCCTTGCCAAGATAACCTGTTGTCACCCATAATCTTTCCTCCTGCACTCTTTGTGTTCCTGTGGTCCATCCACTCCTCACCATCAGTATCTTGTTGTGGTGTGCTTCCTCCTATTGTCAACTGGATTTCCACTAAGCATCATCTGTCATACTGGTTTAGCTCCAGGTTTTCAGTGTTTGCTGTGCCATTCTCTTGGGACATACAATGTGAGGAAGTCTTTCTAATGCACAGTGCTTCAGTTAATTGAATTAATTGCCCTTTTTTTGATGATTCAAAGCAATGTTGGGAAAAAGCTGTTGTCTGCTTCTAGTATTTTAAGTGGACCTTTGTTCTACTTGATATTCATAGATGCTTGAGAAGGAAGACTTTGAAAAGGAAAGGCTATACCATCCTTATTAAAATATCTGTAGACTAGTATCTGGAAGAGAAACGCCACACATGTTAGAGAAACATTTTAGGTTTTTATTAAAAGATCAAATAGTTTAACATATTATTGTGTAATAAAAGCACATTTTGGAGTAGACTTATTTAATTGAAAAATACTGGTTTCATGAATTAATTAGGACAACTGGTCACGAAAGTCTCAGTGGTTTAGATCAAGTTTTAAGTTCCCTCACGTGCAAAGGAGGTGGTAAGCTGATGATGCGCCATGTACTTGCTCTAGTTCTTATCCTAGCCTCTTTAGGCTTTTATTTGAGATTAAACAACTGATACTTTCTGTGTGTCTGTGTTCCTGAAAGGCTGAGAGGAGGAGAGGAAGGAAAAAACTGGTGCCACTTAGTGGTGCTGAGAAGTCATTGCGAGTCCGAAAAGTTGATTGATTGATTGATTGATTGATTGATTTAACATTTTTTCAAAGGAAGGAAAAAAAAAAAAATCAAGGTTTTGCTGTTGAGACAACTGACATGTTGGGGAAAATGTGCCAGTATTTTTGCGTCATCATTTCTCTCCCAGCTGCTGTAGCTTTACTGTCTGCAGTTGACAAGATGGCTGGACATGGAAAGATTCCAGAATTTGAGCACAGCCTGTGGGAGTTGCAGGTTCTTCAGTTACAATCCACTAAGGAGCATGAGCATTCACTGAAGTTCTGCTTGCAGAGCGGAAGATTCTGTGGGTTGAAAAAGAAACAGCAAGTGATAGCAGATCTTGCTTGCATGAAGCACCTGTCAGTGCTTCCAACTAGCAGAGGCAGTCTGATCTTTGGGGACAATAGCATTGGTACTTGTGTTGTGACTAGTGTCAGGAAGTTGTTATTAGTAGGATATTTATTAGAAATCTGAAGCTGTTTTGTTCTGTGTCACAGAGCCAACTTAGAGAAATTGCAATACATCCTGTTGTCTAGTAGTTTCATAATTTATTAAAATTGTAGTGTTATAAAGTGCAAGACTCAGAGCACTTCTTTCTTTCTGAGATACATGAAAGGCATTTAGTTTTCTCTAGTGAAACTGAAAGCTCTGAAGATGTTCTTGATCATAAATAACTGATAAGAATATTTTATTATAATTTTTTCTTAATTTATAATTTTATGTAATTGGCATTTGATTTTTGAATGTTCTTGTTAAGCCCAGAGAAGTTGAAGTTTTAGTCATATAGTAAAAGTAGGCTTTTATGACAGTGTTTTTAATGTAATAGAAGGCAGAGGCTTGTTTTAATAAAACATACCCTTGTGTTTTACATTTAAGTATCCACAGTCCTGTTGCCTCTAATATTGGGTTTATACTATCAGTTTTTCTTATTTCTGACTATTGCAAAAGTGAAGCTTTTGAAATTTTCCCATGTTATGCATTTCATATGTGAATTCTTTGTTTCTTACTATTTATGGATTTTACTAACTGTGCACCGTGTTCTCTAAGACACTTCAGGACAATTGGCTTTAACAGTTGTAGCTAAAAATGTATATAGAAGGTATTTGATGCCCCTTAACCCCAGTTTGCTGCACAAAGAATGTGCAGAACATAAGGTTGCAGTGCAGTAGTTTAATGAGTATTTCTTTATTCAGTGCATGGATATCTAATTGTGGCTCTAAGCCTGCTATAGGCCACAAAGAACTTTAATAAAGGAAAAGAGCAGAGGTTAGTTGTCTTTTCCTTCCTGTTACTTATCAGTAACTTAAATTAATACAGTGTCCATACTCAGATTTTTTTTTTCCATTGATTTAAGCCATCAGTCAAAATCAGCATGGACAGCTAACACATATGAAAGTGTAATACACAGTTGGGTAGGAATGGTTCTGTCATTTCTATTATATTCCATGAATACAAACTATGAAATTAATTTCTGAAATCTGATTTGCGGGTAACTAGAATGTTGTTTGCTAGTGCACATTTATTTTTAGAATATTAATAATAATGTTCACATACAAAGCAAGGACCAGATAAAATTGTTTCTGCTGTAATTCATTATCATCAAGAATATAGTCAGAGTTTTGGTTCTTATATGTCTTAACCAATTGAAAAAGAGCCGATTATGCTGTTCATTTGAACATACATTCTCTGAAGCAGTCAACTTTTAACGTATCCAAATTCTGGCAGTGGGATTATTAAAATATACAGTATTATGCCATAGGAATATAGTTATTGTTTCTTGATCAGTTTTGTTATGTATATACAAAAAAGGCGGATGGTGGGGAGTAATGAGAGGCATCTGGACTCAGAAGTCCAGAACTGAGTGACTGAAACAATGTAAAAATATAAAAGCGCTCTTTAATCTTGTGTGCAATTGATTCAGTCTCTTTCAGATGATTCACTTGGAAATTCAAAGAAAAAGTCCAGCATTCTTGAGAATTTGGGACAGCCCAGGAGAAAAGAAAAGAAGAAAAAGGATTCAGTGCCCTGGTGGTTATCTGAGGAAGACTCGGATGATGGTGGTAAATTTAAAGTTTTGCAATGTTTTGGCCACAGGGGGTCAGGCTAGTTCTTTCTCATACTGCATGTTAGGCCTGGTTTGAGATTAAGCTGATGCCGCTCAAGTGTTTTAGGTGTTACAGTGCAAGTTTGTAAAGCATAAAAGTCAAATAGGATTGTATTTTTAATGGTTCATATTCAAGCTGTATGCAAGCTATCTACTAGGTTTCTTCTGTAGCTTTTGAATTAATAAACCTTGTAAAAAATAAGCACATTATAAATAATAAAATAGTTAGAAAATATTACTGAAGAACTTGCAGAAATATTGGTATATGTGTTTTGTAGCCAACCTGTTCTTTATTCTGACTTTTTATAGCTTTCTGTTTTCAAAACTGTAGTGAAAAAAGACCAGTTTCTATAAACATATGCTAACTGCAACATCTGTAGTAAGTTGAAAAAGCACAAAGAAAGAAAAACTTTTCAACAACAGTTGAATTCAAGATGTATGTCTTCAGTATTCTCAGCATTTCCCTTGCCAATAACTGTGGCTCAAGGCAAAATGGGCTGTGATGACATGATTGCTGGTTCAGTATTGACACGGTCATATAGTTCTGGAAGAAAATATATAATTGTTTGCAAGCTTTCCACCTCTATTTTTTTATTGTCTTCTTGTTGGGTAGTAAAACCTGTAGTAATGAGTTAACACTGGATGTTTGCCTCTTCTTCTTGTAGTAATTGGTGGTTTCTTAATTTTCATGATTCATATTAATTGCAAGTGGACCTTAACAGAAAGTTACAAAAATCAGTTTTTTCATCTGACAGAGTTAAAATACTGCTGGCAGTCTCAAATTTTAAGACTAGCTGTCAGTGTTGTTTTAGTGAGGAGTCAAATCCCAGTCAGCAGTTGTGCCATTTAGGCTTAATCCTAATAGGTGGTACCTGGACTTCTTGGTAACACCTATTGGTACCGCCACTTCTTGGTCTTGGCCTTTTAAGATGTTGATATAAAACTCAGATGGGTTTGAGAAAGTTCTTATCAGGGGTTATGAGATATGATGATTTCCTTACAGCTTTTCAAATAAAGTAAGTATGAAGTGTTCTTGCTGGGCAATGTGAGGATTAATAGGTTACCATGACCTCATTTTTCTGCATACTATCAAAGAAAATTCTAATTACTTCAGAAGCTCAGCATGTTTCCATGGCTTTTCTGAGATGCTTGAGGCAATCCAACTTTGATACTTCTTATGGTAGAAAACACACTGGAATAGGTTCCTAAAGGGCAGGGTAATTGCAAGTTTTAGAGAACAGTGCTTGTGTGGATTAAGTAAAATTCAAAACAGTCTCAAGAAGCAATGAGATTATATTGAGATGTTCCATCCAAACAATTTCCACCACTGTAATTTTTGAAATTAAAAATATCTTATCAGTTGTCCAGGTTAACTAGAGGTAAAGCTATTAGAACTGGAACAAACTTGATCTACAGATTACTGATGTGTGAAATATCTGGTAAGCTTTTCAAGGTCTTCCTTCAGAAAAGCTTCTCATTTAACAGAAAAACATTCAGAAGGTGAGCCTACCAGTTTTGCCCATATGGAATCAATTTACATGCAAAAGAAGCTAGTCTGTTCATATTAATGAACAGTTGATGTTCATGAATATGTTGATGAGGGGCTGGGTTTTGGGGTTTTTTTGGAAGGAGTTGAAAGTAATCTGTGTGTAATGCATTTCAACTCCAAGATCCAACATCTTGGCAGTTGGACTTAACAAAGCTGAGACTATAGGAGTGAACGCCAAATGTGCCAGATGTGTGCACAGAATTCTTCCCTGAGCACCGTTTTTGCCAGGCAGATTATTAGTTTTATTTCACTTACTGCTCTGTCACCACTCTGTGTGGAATACCACACTCATGGAGCATATGCAATATGCCATATCTCACCTGCTACTTTAGTACTGCCAAGCAGAGGGGTTTTTAATTCCTCCTAAAGAGCCTTCCTCTTCCTGTCTTGGCAAGAATGTGGTAACTCCGTGGCATGAAGTGGATCTCCTGGTTGTGGTGTCCCATGAGGAAAGGGATATATTTGTCACACTGGACACTTGTAAATGGTAGCAGTTGCAAAATGTGTGCTATGATGAATGCCTTTCTGCAAGGTAGGGTCCAGTTGTAGGGCAGTTAACATAGAGTCAAAAGAGAGCCATTTGCGGAGACCACCTTGGCCACCTTTGGGATAAACTGAGTTTTCCTCTGCAGTTTTATGTGGCTATAATTTTACTTCATGTAGATGTATTTGTGGTGTTCTAAAATGACAGGTCGGGTGACTATAAGGAATTCAGGTGTGGATAGTTTCCAAAACTGCTCATATTTTCCTCTGTTTGCCTTGTGTGCTTCCAAGTACTTTGTCAAATACCATTTTGCCATGTCTAATATTCTCAGGGTGTATGTTGTGTGGTGTGTGCTCAGACCTATTAAAAGTGGATGATGGCACAGCAATTTTGTGATGTAAGTTACTGCACTAAATGACTGAAAAGATAATGATTTAGACTCATAGTTCTCTGTAAGGTTATATGTAATCATCTCCTAAGTGGCAAAATAATTTCTTACAGGAGAAAACAATAACACTGCTGTGATGCTAACAACATGTAAATAAGATGAATTTAATTTCTGGAAAGTGTAATGTCAGCATGCTTCAAAAATTATCGGAAACCCTTGTGTGTCCTTCTAGGCTTGAAGCTTTATGTTTGTTGCAGATAGGACATAGTCAGTAGACTGTCAGCTAATAGAATTAGAATTTTTTAAGTTGTTTTATCATCATGAATCAAACTTATATAAATGCTTAAATCTTGCCTTCACCCACAGTGTGGCACTGCTATCATTACAAATGCATGCTCCGTATGTATAAGTTGATGTCTTTGGGTGTGACTGTTAAGAGATAATGTTATCTGAAGGAAGCCTGGATAATTAGCTTGTGTAATACACCAAGCTGATATATTGCTCGGTTTGAGGTTTTGATTTTGAGTTATTTCATTATCTATATCATGCTTTCTTGAAAGATAAAAAGGAGAAGATTAAATATGTGCTCTATACTTACTTGTTGTCAGTTTTTCGTTTTTTTTCCCCAAGGCATCTTGTTACAAAAGTGCCAGGAAATAGGTAGAGTTATACTAGTAGCCTGTTTAGCTGAGAAGTATAAAGTTCATTTCAAAATAACTCCATGAGTTATTCTAGGCACGTTTAAACTGTTTGTTCTTCAGCTTTAAACTGAAATGTGCAAATTATGATTCAAGACATTGTCTTCCATATTAGACAGGTTGGAGACCTAAGTGATGCCCTTTCTGCTTGCTTTTGTAATTTAAATGATAAAAAGAAATTGGATACTAAGAATTCCTGTCCTGTCTTGCTTGCATGTCTGTTCCTGCTGTTTGTCTTTTCAAGATTTTCAAATAAAATTTGTTAAAGTGAGAAAAGAGAAGAAACTGACAGAAAACCATGCCGAAGTAGTGGAAAATACTGAACAAAAGAGTCCCCATCCAGATTTCCAGTCTGGTATTTGATTAAATATGTTTTGATACATTTATTCAGTATCAACTTTGTATTATTTGTGTGTTTCCTGTAGAAAATCCTTAGCAAACTGTCCATTTGACCAAGCTGCCACATATATCACTACATGTAGTGATGTAGTAGGACAGACAGTACTTAATGTCAGCCTGGGGAAAAGAGGAAATAACTTCAAAAATCAGAACAAAAAGCTCTCACCTGTATTAAGCATATCTTTAGTAAATAGAAAGTATGTTACACTTCCTGCATTTCATACACAATAAATATTAATATTCATTGTTCTACTTGTTTAATTTCAAAGATAGCAGTCAGATAAGCATTTTACTTATTTTCTGTTGATGTGGTTCTTTTCCCTTTGCTGATGACTGTGCTGATTTGTTCATGCTGCCCAGGAATGGAAATAGCAGTTGGTATAAATTAAAAACTTTAATTGTTTAATCTGCAGGATTATTCCAGTCAGTGTAACTTTAGATTCAGCATTTTATGTGGGTCATTTTGTTATCTGAAGAGAAACTCCAGCAAATAAGTAGGAATTATAGGCATTGGTCCATTAAATACTTCTGTATAAAAGACAATAGCAATTAACTTTTCCTGATTTAAGCATGGCATTGGTGTTAAATTCAAGCAGATCAGTAGTGTTTTGGAGAGCCATGACACTGAAATATTTGGCACTTGGTCTTTGGATCCTGTTCATGATGTAGTTTGTAGACTATAGAATATCTCCTGTGTTAGTTTATTCTAGAGTCTATGTGCAGTCTAGAAAATGTATGTATATGTTTTCATAAGCCTCATTTGCATAGAATAGCTGTAAAGCATCTCAGCCTGGGAGATAAATACTAAAAATTATTTCTCAAATTAGGATTAATGTTTGAAATATGAGCAATAGGAGGACCTCTGTAGTTATTTCAAATTACTGTTTTAAAAAGTATTAGGTGTTTTCATTATTTATAGTAGATGGTATGCTGAAAACACTTCTAGTTTCCCAGTAAGTGTGGGAGAATATAGATCTAGAGAAGCAGTGCCTTGCTTGTGAGCTTACACATCAGCTGAGGGAATAAAGGACCTATGCATTGTATCAGAATGGATTTAATACCATTTCTCTCCTTGCTCTACTAGTTTCCTTTAGTTATCTTGGATGTTTGAGCTGTGTTAAGTTTTGGTCACATATCCCTATCCTCCTGTTCTAAATAGCAGAAGTATTTGACTTGATGTCCTAGGCTACTCACTTTTGTGTCAAGGTGAACTCAAAAGACCCATAACTAAGAGTTTTATCAGAATTATTCCGTTTTGAAGCCTCTTCCACCATGACAATTTTGAGATGGCAAAATCTAACACAGACCATCTGGCTAACCTAAGGTATATGAAGGCTGTAGTGTAGCTGTTGTATAAGAGTCCAGAGGAGGCCACTAAGGTGGTTAGAGGGGTGGAGGATGTTTTATATGAGGAAAGGCTGAGAGAATTTGGTTTGTTAAGCCCAGGAAAGAGAAGACTTCAGGGTGACCTAACTGTGCCCTTGCAGTACATGAAAGGACCCTGCAAGAAAGATGGATAGAGCCTATTGACAAGAGCATGAAGTGACAGGACAACGGGGATGGTATCACACTAAAAGAGAGTAGCTTTAAATTAGGTATTAGAAGGAAGTTCTTTGCTGTGAAGGTGATGAGGCACTGAATGGGTTGCTCAGAGAAGCTGTGGATGTCCCATCCCTGGAAATGTTCGAGGCCAGATTGGATGGGTCTCTGCGCAATCTGGTCTAGTGAAAGGTGTCCCTACCCATGGCAGGGACATTGGAACTAGATGATCTTTAAGGTCCTTTCCAACCCAAACCATTCTATGATTCTTTGATCATGAGAGCAGTTTTCAGCATGGAGGCTGTTATCAAAAACTTAATTCTGGTAACATGAATGGAAGACATTCGTTCTATTTGCTGCTGAGCAAGTCCCCACAAGGGTTTGAGCAAACAAATGCAGTTCTTATATCTGACAGTGATAAAGACAGTAGTAATTTATATTTATGTACCTATGTTTTCCCACTTTTCTTTGAACTAGTCTACATGCTTTCTTTCAAACCTCATAGTAAAAACCTTTTACTGTTGCAGTAGTTTTACTAGTTTTCTTTGTTTTCAGGTCATTTATTGAGCTCCTACAACATTGTATTGAATACAAAGTATACATGGATCAATAATCTTTTTTAAAAATAAGGATGGAGAAAAATAGTTCTATTTCCAGAAGTTATAAGTATTAACTTTAGTTTTTACTTACAGATAGAAAATTAGAGGTAATTCAGTGTACAAGAAACTGAACTGTATTACTTTTTCAGAAGTGTCACTTTGAAGTCTCACATCTCATTCTTCTCTTTATTCCCTGTCCACTATGCATTAAAATTTATGATGTTTATGTACACTTAGAAGTAGTTCCCTCTAAATCTTCCAGTGCATCTCGCAGCAAGGCTTTGTCTAAATCCAAAATGTTGGAAAAATTTCATAAGGACAAGAAAGATTCATACAAAGAAGAAGGAGCCCTCACTTCTGACAGTCCAGACAATTCTGAGGGTAACAAATTTACTGTATTTTATATGGTACTAAAAAGGAAAAATGACTCAACTCTGACAGTCTTGGTCAGATTAGGAAAAAAAGAAGTTACTTTTTGAAGTAGATGTTTGTCATTATCAGTTTGAGTCCTTTGTATTTATGTTTTTAAATGTTTCTCTGCAAGTATGGTACTTACAAATATTCTTCAAAGTGAAACTCAGGTTCTTATTTTAATTAATTTCAAGTAGCTGTACTTTAAAAAATAATACCATATATAATTAGCCTTACAAAATGTTGCTTAGAAACATACAGATAGCAAAACCTTTGGCATTCAAGATAACTACCTAAGATGCTTCTAAGAGAAGTAAGAAGTAACCACTCCACAAGAACAAATGGCTCTTGCTAGCTTCACTGGTATCTGTGGGACTGTTCAAACAGCCAAAAACACAATGAAGAGACTGTTAAATCCATGTGCGTTGATATTTTCTCCAAGTTTGATAGGTTTCTCAGAGTTCAGACTGTGTAGGGTGAGAGAAAACAAATACTCACTAGCAGTGAGGAGGGGGTGTGGGTGTTGGGAGTGGCTAAGTTGCAAAGTTTAATGGCTGCAGAAAAAATATTTGATTTTCAGATTATTAAGGAAGGTGATTTTTTAAAAAACCTCTGATTTGACTCAAACCTTGACTAGCAAAATACTTTAAAATTACTAGATAGCTTACATAAACCCATGATACCTTCAAGATTAACGCACGTCTGCTGAGAAATTTCACTGGATATGAGATGATTTAAATTAAAAAAAAACACAGGAAAATGTTTTCCTTAAGCTTTTGTTCCATTACACATTCTAATTGTTTTTTTTTTTACTGTTGTATAATCCCTTTGCCTTTCTTGCAAATCACTACATAGGAGGTCAGTTGCAGTTAGCATTTGATTCTGCTAATATATTCTCATTCAAAAACAGGGTGTTGGAGGTCTGATGAGGTTATGGCTAATCTAAAGCTCTGTAAAATACTTGTGACCCAGCTGCAAACAGACTCCTATTTGCTGTCTTGTTAACTAGAATAGAGTGCCATCTGAATAAAGTACTTTAAATTACTTCATTTGGCTACCCGAGAAATGGGCTATTTGTAGTTTTTTTACTTCTGTTCAACACTTTGAGCTTTCCGTTTTCTACTTTTCAGTGTAGCAATATGTAGTTATTTAGGCATTGACTTTTTATATGTGTGGAGCTTGACCTTTAGACAATGACTCTGACATTTGTTGCATTCAAGGCAAGTCAGTCAGAGCTCTATATTGAGGACAGAGCTGAGATTAGATACAGGAATGTGGATTTCCAAGATGTGGAGTCTTATGCACTTAGCCTCCCAATAAGACATGCACGGGGACTGTCATTACAATCAAGAAAATAAACCTATTCTACTTTTTAAAAAGAAGGCTCTTACAATCAGAATGAATGCGCTGAGGGCTTTTCCCTAGGGAGGGAAAAGGTGTTGAGACTCCTACTTTCCCACTTGCCCTCACCCTGAATAATTTTCAGTTCCGAAGGGAAAGGATTCTCCATTGTCATGATATAGGCAAGTATGGCATTTTTAAATGGGACTTCTATGGGCCCATGTAGAGAACAGAGCAAGATCCCAGAGCTGAAGCACTTGGTCAGCACATGGAAGATTGATTTAGTGTTATTAATATATGGATCTCCTCCAGGCTCCTGCAGCAGGAAATGAGCTGTTGTCAGTGTCTTCACCCCTTCTGGTATGTTCAGCACAAGGACACAGCTACATCTCAACATCTTGTGGACAGGCAGGATGAAAAATTCTGGGTGTTACCAACTTACGATTCATGTTGGAAAAAACAGACTTAGTTTCTGTTCCCTTCTGTGAGAACTGTTGAATAATTTCATGTGTCGTTTGATAAAATGCATAAGCAGCTTTTCTCCTATCCCTTCTCCAATGTGAACTTACTCAGAATCTAAGTATAAACGTGTGTGCTTTGCCGGCAGGCAGAAGGGAGTTTTTGATCTAGCACTGTCCTGCGATATCTGGCTTTTAGTCTTCCATAAGGAAGTAGATATGGCGGTGTTCTGCCTGAGAACCAGCAAAGAGTTGTTAAGGTGATAGTGAACCCTCACAACAGTGTAATCGCAATTAGGAGAGAGCAACTACAAGTTGTAGTTACATAAATTTATAGAATGGCAGAATTGGGTGTTCATTAATGACTTTAGATACTTTGATTACTATTTTTTTCCTTATAGCCTTTAAGCAACAAATGAAATGTAGCTGCTAAACCAATGGCTTAGCAAGTTTAAAAATCTGCGGTGATCTGAGGTAGCAAATCAAATAAAATTAACTGGGTTTTAAGAAAGAAATGTCAATTTCTGTATCGGGTCTGTACGTGAAATTGTCTTTCATGAGTAATATGATGGTAACTCAGTTTTTGCATTTCACTCGTGCTGAACTTTAGGTATGTGTGCAAATATGAAGGACAGGAAGATAATGTTTATAATAGCTTAATTAATTAAACAAGATTTACATATAGAATCAGTGGAAATTAGGTGAATGCAACTCGTGAGTCTGCATATCTTTGCAATTGCAATGCAAGATTACAACTTGTAGTTCTGGAAGGAGACTAGAAGACTTGATGTGTCATACAAGTAGCTTTTTAGATGGTAGTCAAGAATATTGCAACTTTTTTCCTAGGAATGCTTGAAGCCAATGGAAACTTTGTCAAGATGCGGAACACTTCACAGCCTGTGGGAGAAAGTAATGAAAATATGGATGTGGAAAAGATGCAGCTTCAGAAAAGTAGTGGAGATGCTGTCTCTCTGAGTAGAGACAGTCTGGAAACAAATGGTGAGAACTGAGAGCACAACCATTTCATCAAATTAACTACATCCAAATAAGTTACTATTAAAAGCCATTTACCTTAATTCATTTCAAGATGGGATTCTTCAACTTGTCAGCTGTGAACTAAAGTCTCCTAGTACTAGTTTGTGATGATTTGATACCATTAGTACATTATGAGTCTGTCTGTGGTTGTTGTTAACTATTATGCCTGTTCTGTGTGTACATACAGCACAGACACAGTTTATTCTCTTTTTTGAAATTTAGATTCAGTTTTAGCTTCCGGGCCTAATCAAAGTATTGTAGGAGTTGGATTGGATACCTTGGAAGAACAAGAAGAAAAAGAGATCTTCTTTGCCAAGCTTGAACGAGAAGCTTCTTCTACTATTGATTATTCAAGATTAAATAAAGAGCTGGATTCCAATGATTCTGTCATACTAGCACCATTTGAACGGTAATTTAGAGGGAAGAAAAGTTGTGGACGATATTAGTGGGCGCATGTGGATTGGATATGGCCACTGAGATTTTGTTGGATGATATTCTGTATATAATTTCAATCAGGTTTTTTTTTGTTTATTGTGGTTTAGGTTTTTTTCTTCTAGACAAGGACAGAAATGAGCTCAATAATAAAAGTGAGGGAATGACATAGTGATGAGTGGATGTAGCTCCACAGTCTTGTGCATAACTCAGTAGTAACAACTCAACATTCATAATTGTAAGGAATAACTGAATGAAGAGGTAACAACTGATAATAAGAAGGAAATAGATCAGGAAAGATTCTGTGTCACTTTAAACATGATATTACAAATTAATCTGGGGGAAACATACTTAATCTTCATAGACTAGGGCAACTCTATTTATAATCAGTTACATGAAAGTAAGTCCAAACATTCTGAGAGAAATGGATGAAGGAAGTTCAGGCTGCTGTTGCTGAAAATACTGAGTTCAGAGGCGACGTCTGATGCCAAAACAGTTGGAGAGGCAGAATTCTGGAGAGCTTTAGATAAGGACAAAATTCTGTTTTATGGGAAAAGGAGAAAGAAAGGAGAGGTGGGTAGTTTTTAAATTTATTTTGTTAATCCAGAATGACAGGGTCAGAACAGGAGACAAACCTTGATGATAAAAATATTTTTTGAAAAGTTAATGTAGATGTTGAAAAGAATGCAGAAAGGGAGTGCTTGTAAGAATTAGATTGAGAATTTTAGCTGGGAAATACTTTATTTTAATAAATGCTGACACTTTAAACTTTTCTTACCTTTGATTTGATTTGTTGGACAAGGTACAATTTTTTCTTTCATTATAAATTGTAAGAAGTATCAGAGTGTAAAGTTCCAAGAAAAAAAGTATATTTATTTGCTATCCAAAAAGATAGTAAAATTTTCATTTTCTTTCTCAGAAATGAAAATGCTGAAAAAGAAGAAGAACCTGCGCATGAAGAGAAATCTGGTAATACAGTATATTATTTTACCTGTAGTTCTTACATGAGTCTTTTAGGCTGTTGTTGCATTATGAGTGTGCAGCTGTTATTCATACAGAGGGCTTAATGGGATTACTTTTGCTTCTGTGCTTTTTCTTAAGTGGATTTTTAATCTTAATCTTTTAATTGTGAACCAAAAGACAAAAAAAGGGGAAAAAAGTAGTAAAAATCCAACATCAGACATAAATGAAAAAAACCTCTCATGTTTAAATTTTAGTTACTCCGGTGTCTTAACTGTCATCTGTATTTTTGTGCCATCTTCTCATACCTGAATTTAATCTCTGTAATCTGCAGTACTACTGTTAATCTGATTTCCTCACAAATTTTCCATGCTACATTTCTTGCTTATTTGTCTTTCACTTGTGATACCTCTTTATTTTATGCTTCATTGCTATCATATGAACATTGTGTGTATTCATGTAAATTAATGCATTGTATTTTCAAATTTATATATTCAGCTGAACTTTTGAGAGGTCCTGTTTTCAGGATTGAATTTCCCAAGAATAAAGAGGATGTATTTGTAAACCGTAAACACATAAACAACACATGATGATCTAGTGTTTTGCAAGGGTTCTAGGTTTAAGTGTTACAGATAATGCAGACACTGGAGCCTGTAACCATAGGAGCTGAGTGGGAGAGATATAGTGAAAGAGAACTGAAACTTGTGAAAGTGTCTAGGTAACTGAAGGAAAAACGATTGGCTTGTAAAATTGTAAAGTTCATTCTCTGACACACTTGGGTTTAAATAGTGCTTACTCTTGAGAGTGGCTTTTGACCCACCAAAGCAGGTCATAAGAAGCCAGATTACAGATTCTGAGCCTCAGAAGTGCTGGAGTTGTAAAAGTGAATGTACAGAGTACTTTATCTACAGGGTTGGAATTGCATCATTTCACCCCTAAGTGAGAGAGAGTAGTTGAATAAAAGGGGTCAGTTCAAGTACACCTTGAGGAGACAAAGCATATCTGATCACAAGGCAAGCTTCCTTTGAATTTAAAGATATTATGTGTGACTTTCACTGTAGTTTTAGTACCCCACTCGATTTTGGAAACTTTCTGTTGCATTTGTAAAAGGAGTATCATTAGCAGTAGCTGTTCTTAGATGAGGCATTGGGGAAAAGGAAATAGCTGTCCCTTACTGCTTTATCTTCCTTGAGTATTCTTTCTATTTGACATTTATTTTTACTTTTTTAGGTAGCTACAGTGAAGATTTTGAAGAAGAAACAGATACTAATCCTGCCCTTAAAACTGAGGGAGATCAGGTGAATCAAAACATCGTATCAGAAGGTGATTTAAGTCCTCAAGAACAGGTATAGCTTGCTAAATGTTTCTATTACTTGCAGGAATTTTAAAAGCTCTGCAATATGTAACTAAATATATTAAACCTTTATATGATACATACTGTGTGAAATAGCATAGTGGCTTTCAGACTATATCTTTCTATTAAGGATATGTACTTTTTTGTAATAAATCATAGAAGGGGTTAAGTTCTTCACAGGGTTTCCTGCTTACTCCTCCTTTAGTTAAAAAATGAGGATGGAAGTGCACAAATTATGAGCTCAGATGGAAACTCAGCCTCAGAATGGGTAGTGCTTAATCTCGCAGCGCTTTTGAGGTGCAAGTGACACAGACTATTGGAAGTAATTCTGTAAAAAGAAGCCTTTTGTACAGAGGACCCAAAAGTCTTCACTGTATGAGCTGTGAGGGCATTGCTGTCCCCTGGCTTGGTCAGGTCTTTTCACGTGTAGCACATGTGGTTGGAGCATATGGATGCATCCCTGGAGTACACACTAAGATTTGCGTGTTTTTCAAAATAAGTCTATAGAGCATCATGTATTCTTCTTCACTAGGTAAACTTACTTGGTTTTTCGGTTTTTTAAAATAAATTTTTTAGAGTGGTATTTCTAATAAATGTTTAAAAAGTTAGAATGGAGCTGTAAATAATGTGCTTACTGCTACTTAACTTTAGTTTCTCAATTTGCAATAAAAGAAAACCAGGAGGGTGCAAAAATGCTCCTCTGCATTGATTTCTAACCACTTGATAAAAGTTTATAGAGTACGTGATGTTGAGAACTTTATGGCATTCTAAGGAGGGTTTTAGAAAAGTGCATATTACTGGAGAATTAATAATTCCTTAGTTCTTAATTCTAAAAACTGTTTTTAGGTATTGGACCAACTTCTAAAGTTTGTCCAATTTTTTTCCCCTGATATTCAAAAAGTAATTGTTTGGGGGGTTTTTTTTGTTTTGTTTTTTGTTTTTGTTAGGAAGAAGCAAACACTGGCATGCTGGCTAAAGGTAAAATATAAACTTTGATTAATGGAAGAAGATTAAATGTTTCGTTTTGAAAGTTGCTTACTTGATTTTTACTATTTTGATATTTTTCAACTTGTGTTAACTGAAAATACGTTGAATTGAAATAGTTAAAAATAATCTACATATTAACACTTCAAGGTGATCATTAATGTAATTTTATATTTATTATACCCATGCAGAACTCAGATTTGTAATCGGAGTTCATTGGTTTTCCACTAATGGCAATAAATTAATCTGCATAGTATTTTTTTGTATGCCTAAGACATCAAGCTCTGGTATACATCTAATTCCAGTGTGGCAAAATATAAATAAGAGGATTTGTGTTTTCTTTAACATTTATCTTCTTAGTTGTATTCCTTGATTCACAAGATTCGACTGTAGAGCTTCAGAAGGCCATTGAAACATCAGATGTAGCTCCAGGCAAACATGATCAGCCTGAAGAAGTCAGTGCAGTTGAAATGAATGAAGCAGGTAAGGGGTGCTCTAAAAAAAGAAGAAAAATGAAAAAACCCACCACACAACAAAACTCAAACCCTAAAATCTTCATTTATTAAATTAGGTGACTCCAGTGTCTTCACTTGTTCTTAGATTATTGGGGAACATAGAGCCCTTGGCTTTTGCCAACAAATTTTGAAAGCAGGAGGAAATATTTCAGCACATAATGATGTTTATGCTAAACACTTGGTATTGAAAAGTAGCTTTTGATGCTGCAATTTCATATTTAAATACCATCACCTCTGGTTATTTCTTTTGCAGCATTGAACAGAATTATTAAATACATTCTCTTATCAAACTTCACACAACAGTACAGGCCACTCATATCCAGATTATTGGTGTGATGGCACCTGTTAAAATAGACATGTAACATAAGCTGTTAATTTTAGTACTGTTAAAATACTGAGGTGGGGGAGAATAGGGGAGAGGAATACAAACTGTAGTTGAGACAGTTTAGTAGGCACTAATTAACTTGGCAACTGTTTCTTTTTATAGGAAGAACGAGATTTTAAATGATTTTTTTAATATAAGTGATGTCACTACTTTCGTCACATAACCAACTTAGTAGCTGAACCAACCTCATAGACCAAATTAGTAACTGAAACACAGGCTCCAGTGGGATGTTTCCTAAAACAGAAAATCCAGTAGAGTCTCTTACAAGCCTCCTTCTTTTCTCAGGTACTTCCAATGGCCAAACCACTGATGACATGGAAGTGCTATACCAGGCATATCATCACATTGATCAGTCTTTGGGCGACACTGATGAGCAGAAACCACAGAATTCTGCAGTGGCAGCCTCAGAAGGCTTAGGGCAAAGCATTCCACAGAATAATGACATCTATGCAAAAAACATGTCAACTGTTGATTCAGGTAAATTGCTCAAAGGAAGGCATGTATTGTACAAGCTTGTAAAACAAGTGAACTAGTAATATCTATAATAGTCCATTTGTGAAACATTTTTTAATGTCCTTGTAACAAATATTTTTTCTAGGTGGTTTTTTAACTTATTTTGTATTTATTTCTCATTATTTAGATTTACCTACTGTGGAAGAATTGATGAAAACAATTAAAGGACATATGTGTAATACCAGAAATTTTGATGTGGACCCTGAACGGTATTTATTTCAAGATGCATTTTAAGAATTATAGTTACTTAAAGTTGCTAACAATTTGTGAAAAACAGCTTACTAAATAATTTATCTATCTCTTTCTCTAATTAAATACTGAAGTTTTGTTGCATCATGCACTGGCATTATGGCATTTGCAGTGAACTGTAAAATTAATTATACAGTGTAATAAGTTTAGACCAGGGATTCCCATACTTACTTCAGGTAATGAGAAGCAATGTTTGTCAAATCATTTGAAGAAGTGTTCATAACTCTCACAGCTAGGATCTCTGCTTTCCCAGTGTTCTGCTCTTTCCCCTTCCCCGTACAAGGATTTCAGCCCACGTCCTATCCTAGCTCTCCAAACTCCATAATCATAAATTCAAATCCTCTTAAGATCAAATCCCACTGTTGTGATTCTTACTAACCTATGCTCCATACCTTCCCCTTACTTGCTGCAACTGTTCTCTCTAAAGCAGACAGCACAAGCCTTGCAACTGTCAGAAATACAGCTTAGCAGATGAGTTCGGGGAGTTTATCATGTAGCTGCACTCAGCAGAAATACTGCTCATTTTTAATTAGTGTTAATTGCAGGCTTACAGGTGTTTATCTTGTAGCCAATTTTGCTACCTCCACAAAAACAGTTGCTGCTGGGAAGTGGCTCTTTTTACACAGCATGGGAGTGAATCTGTATGACTAAATCTGCAAGATGGGTCTGAAAAGAGGCTTGGTAGCTCTTTGAAATTCAGACAGTTTTTACAGCTGATACCTAAGGAAAAAATGCTGTAATTTTTCCAGAGTGATAGAAAAGCAAAGGGCAAAAGTCTTATTATATATGGCTTCTTTTTTCTTGTAGTCCTGTGAAACTGGTAGGCAGCACAGAAAATGACCTCATTAGCCACTTACCTTTTGAAGACCCACAGAGTAGTACATCTTGGGAGAAAAACTTTGTTGAAAAGTTTAACAGAGAAGAAAGCATCTTTCTACAGACAAACGTGAATGACAGTAACTTTCAGAGGATGACTGAGAAAGAAATTCAGACCAATGAAGTACAGCCTGATAGACTAAGAGAAAAAATAGGACAAGACTCTCTGCTTTCACAAGGAAGCAGAACTAAAAAAGTAAGTATTATCAACCAGATTTTTGTTATATGGAAGTAAATTTTTAAAGGTATGTATTTTTAGACTGCCTGTCACTTGATTATGCTCTGATTTTAAGAAACTGAGAGACTGTTGTTCTTTTTCTTGAAATTCTCATGTTGCTGTGGCTACTGTTAGAGATCATCAAATTCAGTGTACACTGGGACTACTGGGATACTTCTTGTCCCAGCCCAACATGTGGAAGGCTGCTGCAATGCTATGTCTTCAGCTCAAGATAGTGATGTCTCTGAGCACGTGAGCATTGGAGGGACACGTGTAAATGCACAACAGGCTCAGAACAGGGAACATTTGTACACAGAGAATAGTTAGAAATGCAATTCAGTAAGAATATAAGAGGGACTGCAATGGTCAGTGTCCAGCTGAGTCAGACAAGTGTGCTGACCGGCAACCTGGTCATGTCACCAGCTTTTTAAATCTGGTTTTTTCCTCTATTTCCCAGACTTGCTTCTGTGCCTATATTTTTTTCTTTCCCTAGAGATCCTGTGAATTTTGCACATTCTTACAATCATCTCAGACATCCCAGAACATGAAATTTATATAATCCCAAATCTTATCTCTGCATCCCCAAATTATTTTCTCCTTGCATCCTCTAAATTAGCTTCACATTCCTTTAGGCAGTCATCTTTTGTGTGTGCAAGGCATTGTAGGGATAGAGGTTTGGCTGATTTATCCTGGTGGACTGCCCATCAGGGCAAACAGGCTAAACTTTTTCATTTGTTGGTCTTGGGAGTTGTGTGCTTTGTTTTTGATGATCAAGTTTAGCAGAGTTCCTCTGCCTGCCACTATTCCTTTTTTCAAGGCTGGGTTTCTGTATTCACTGTGTTTGTTAGCCTATAGTCATGACCTACCTTATTTGGCAAGCAAAAGACCCTGTAATGTACAGTACAATTAAAATAAAAGTACAATTTCCCAGATCAGTTAGAGCCAGTACAAAATATTTGCCGTGTGTAGTTCTGAAGCAGTACAATTCTGCAACATTACCTACTACTGATTTGTTTTAAAACGATGCTTGCCATCATCCTGAGTCTTATAGTTGTGTAATTTTGATAACTGGCTCTATGTTTTTGCCTGGTGAATGCTACCCTCAGTTTACAGCAGGGCCTAAAACTTGTTTTAAACCAATGTGTTCTGTCACAGGCTCTTCGGTCTTGTTCCTTGAAGAATGAAAGATCAGAATCAATGTCAACCAAATCAATGTTATATAAGAATATTAGACCAGCACCTGTACATAAAAAGAAACCTTCACACGGTCCTCATGGATTGGTTAGAAGTTCTGGCTATGGGAAGCCATGTTTACTTTCAAAGCAGTCTTTTCCAGTCAGTGAAAAGAAAACACCAAAAGAAACTTTCAAAAAGACCTGTACGAAAGCCATAAGTTCTGCAGATAGAGCAAAATCTAAAGGTAATTCTAAGTTTTGAGAATTTTAATTCTGAGTTTAAGAGCTAGAGAGGTTTGCTTTTTATGCTTCACATAAAAAAAAAAACCCCAAATGTTGTAGAGAAATCTAAACTCAGATGCAGTTAAGTACTGATTTTTTTTTTCTGTATTAGCATGAAATGGCTGCAAGAGAGACTTTAATATTAATCTTTTTAGTCTTGCTTCATTTCCACTCACATTTACCACCGCTATATTTGAGACGTATCTATTGTTCACCAGTAGGACCAAAAGAGTAAAATAAGCTGGTGTTCAAAAATTAATATCTACAAGTTGACATTTTTCATTACAGTAAATGCAGAAATTTGCTGACTCACTAACTTGTGTGTTTGAGGCTGAATTCCTGTTCTCAGCTTCTTCTTTTGATCTTTGCTTTCCTAGAGTACAAAAGAAGTACTAAAAAGGAAGTAATATTTTCTGTTCATGTCTCTTGGAAACACTATGGAAAGGAGAATACCGATGTAATCCTGTGAAAGCTGGGTTGCAAGTAAAGGACTGAACCTTTTTATTTTGGGGTGAAGCCTGAAAAGTTTCATGAGATAATTCAGCTTAGTGCCTTTGCAAACAGTTTTTGCTATCCCTGAGGCATGAGCAAGTAACTCTACAGGTACCCAGGCTTTATTGCACTTCTAGCATGCAGTGCTTTTAAAAACCCTGAAGGTAGTGTCAGGAAAAGCAGTTTAAGATTATGTTACCTATCTTAGGGAGGTGCTTCAGTAGCAGCTGTTGAACTGAAGAACCTCAGTTCCTCAGTACATTAATGTATCTGTCCCTGAGGAAGAGGCTTTACAGCCTGGTGGAGGTGGTAAAGGGAATGACAAGTACTAAGAAAATTAGACCACAGGCGTAATTCAAATTTGCTCTTCCCTCTCTAGCTATAATTGTTCACAACAGCAATTGTATATGATTTCAGAAATTAATCTCACCTGGCCATATTCTGCAGGGGCCTCTTCTATAGCTTGGAGGAGAATAGCAGTGAATCAAATAATTGCCAAGTCATCAGTGCTAAGGCAGCACATTTCTGGGAGGTGTGTCACACTAAAAAGGCATGAAATTTGGAAAAGAGTCATTGTCTGGTGAAGGTTTTTTTCAGGTATAACATTCCTAAGCAGGAGCAGTTGATATGGCAGTTGTAGTTACTATGCAAAGACTGAGATGTGAACAGTTCCATGTATGGTAGTGACTCTAGAGGGATCTTTCCTGATTTCTTACTCCAGTCAAGTTGTTACTTGGTGCAACAATAAATGTTGCATTTCTTTCTGTACTGTCTGCACTCCAAAGTCTATTTTGAAAATTTTTGTGTCTTATCTTCCCCATGGCTTGAAATATTTTGTGTTTATATATACTTAGATAACTGGCCACTTCTGAAGTGGAGGAGTGAGTTTAACCTTGTTTCATGAAGAACTTATTATCCAGCTGCTTGTTTCAGTTATTCTCTTGCGTTTTGTTTTATTTTGTCATCAGTTCCTTACTAAAAAAAAATCAAACCCTTTCAGTTTTTCCATAGCATATCGTTGTTCTCAAGTTTCTATACTTGATTCAAATTCAGGTTATAGAATACTTTATATACCTACAGGTATATAAAGGTTGGATCACAAGAATACATATTTTTCTTACATATTTTTCCTAAAGGACATAAAATTCTGAATTTATTTGTTCTATTTTACTTTCTGCCAAAATGAAGAAGCCTTATTTGCTACTAGGATAATAAGATCTGCAGCAAATGAACCAACTTTGGAGGGCAATATTAACAGAGTTTTGTCTGGCCAATCAGTTAGTAATCTTGGACACCAGGCTGTGGATTGTAACAGGCAGTATCATCATGTGAGTAATAACCAGTGATTCTCCTAATTAAAGCATGTACAACTTGGTTTGCAATCCTATTTTTTTCAAGGCTTTTAACAATTATCACAAGGTTGGCAAATACTGAAATAGTGAATGAAGATTTCCCTTTGGTCAAATACTACATTTTGCTTTTAAAATATGCAAATATAATTATACTGCTTTTCAGTTGCTTTGATACTGCTGTTGCTTTGGTGGTTCTATATAATTAAAGTCACTTATTAATTTCTAAAAATTACTGTTTCATTGTAAAAGAAGGTTAAATAGAACTTAAAATATTCTGCTATGACTGTTTTAACAGTACTACTGTTCAGGAATTTTTCCTATTTGCATTGCATTAAATATTTAATAGTATCTTCTGACTTCCAAGATGACTGAATTTGCAGTACCATAATGGTTTTTCCTTCTCCCTTATCAACTGCATAAAAAGCGATTAATTAAATACCTGAAGCATTGCTGTTGTTGTAAAAGTAAGATACATAATATAATAATTCTTGTAGCAATGTAGTGTCTGTCATATGAGATGTATTTGTTCCTTTTTGAATTTTTTGTCTTGTTTTCCTCATATATATTTTGCAAATCAGAAGGTTACTCATTAAAATGAATATAGGATGTTTTGCTATTAAGTGTTGGGGAGGTTGTATCTTGGGTTGTTTTTTTAAATGCCTTGTATTGTTGCTGAGAGTCAGACAAACCAGTTAAATAAAACTGATGAGGAGAGTTCTGGTAAACAATCAGCTCAGGGTAATGTTTCCCTGAATTTTCTACCCTAGGACTTATCATTTTCCCCTTTCAAAAGCTGTGATAGAGAGCTGTATTTGTTAAAACGAGTACAAGCAGCAGAGGAGGACCTGAACAGAGCTCGGGATTTGATTCAGCAGCTGGCCAGCAAACTTTCACAAAAAGAGAAGGAGATGGAGACCAAGGTAGCAGAACTGAAAACAGAACATGAAAAGGAGCTTTCCCGTCTGGGTCAAGAAAACTATGTTCTTCAGAGTAAGGTACTTTATCATCTTGTATCCTGTGCCAATAGAAGAGAAGAAATACTGCTTCTGAAAATTGAATCAATGTTACTTAGATGAGGTGTTGATGAGCAGAAAATCCAAATTTACGCAGACACTGCAACTTTATAAATGCATACCTGCTGTTACATTTATTGCCTGTTAGACGTGATTTCTTTTTTCCTGGAGATAAACCATGTTATTCTGAGTTCCCTTACTTTGCTGTTTTGAGAGTCCTGCAGCAAGTTTTTTGCAGAGATTAAATTTATTCTCACAGATACTACTTGTTTTAGATAAGTACTATATGCTGAGTCATTGTTTATAGTTCTTGATGCATTTTTCAATGTTGTGTTTTGTCTGTATGAAATATTCCCAGTTATTCCACTATACCCTTGTTTCGGTTCACTCCCTGCATTGTAACATACCCTCCTATATAACAAAAATTTCTAGCTTTTCCCAAACATTTTCTATCTCTTCTCTGTTTCATAATGCTTCTGTAAAACTCCATTAAGAGCCACCCATTGGTCTGCTCTCATATGGTAATGAAGAGATTGGACCTATTTTTGTAGTCTTGTAGAAAATTCCATGTTGCTAACAAAACTTTCTTATTGTCCATGTGTCTTTTTCTGAAAGCTAAGAAGTATGGAAGAGATTACCCAAGAAAAGAGGTGGACCAATGTAGCAACAATTCCTATAACTGAGGAAAAACTGGCCCAAATACAAAAAGAGATTCAAGATCAAGAGGTCATTATTCAAGGTTACCAACAGGTAACACCACATGTCATGTTCAGCTGTATTCTATCCAGCTTCAGAAACAAAATTGTTTAATGATTACTACTTTTCTGTTGAAAACAGGTATCTTGTTTTCTAAAAGGTGGATGGAATTTGGATATGAAGGGCAAACATACTGCAGGTTTAAAAAGTCTTTCACATGTCTAGTTTGGACTAAGTTTTTCCACAGTTCCATGTAAATGTTCTAAATTGTAAAAATCAGTAACTTTTCAAGTGAAAACTGGAATACTTTATGGTCAATGAAGAATCACAAACCTTTTGCCCAAATATTTCTGAAAATTGGTACTTTAGGCAGCATTTGAAACCTGAAAAATTTTGGTTTTTAAAATGTTTTTCCCAATATCTGAGCAGCAGATTTCAAGGTAACCTTATTAGTGTGCCTGATTTGTATTACTTATTCAAGTGGAGAAATAGATAATTCAAGCTTAATAATCCTTTTGAATACTTGCAGCTGCAAAATCCAGTAGGTACTGTCAAACCATGACAGTAGCCCAATCAGCTTCCACCTGATGCTCAGCATAATTCCTTGATATAAACACAATGTCTTTCCAATATAGCTGTGAGCATCCCAAACAATGATTTGTGTCCCCAGGACTGGAGCGTGGGCGGGCTGAGCTCTGATCTATCAGCACTCACCCCTGAACATGTTTTTAGAACATAGTTGGGATAGTTTGTAAAGGATCTGTCTTAGCTCCTTCCTGCAGAGTGAACAGACGCTTGGATGAGATTGTAGATCATGAAAGTAGATATCCATTTTAGAAGCTCAGTAATTAAATATTTAATGTTTTCTTCCACTGTTTCAGCAGGGAAACTGTGATTCGTAAAAAAATGTTTTCTAACTGAAGAAAACAGTAATCTGTGAACATTCTTTAACTTTGTCTGTCTCAATTTAGGAAAATGAGAGGTTATATAAACAAATGAAAGAGCTACAAATCCAAAACAAAAAAAATGAGGAACGAATGTTTAAGGAGAATCAGTGCTTAAAGTCTGAATTAATACAGTTAAGGTAGGCTCATTTACATATCTCACCTGAAATCTCTAGAATTTTCTGCTGTTATTGGGGTTTTTTTAATGAAGAACCATTGCAGAGTCTATCAGGTGCATGTTTTCTAGTGTTTCTAAGGTTTGTCGTCTTGGTTCTTCTTTTGAGAATTGATTTGTGTTGATTATGATCACTTAATTTTTTGTTTTCTTGATGGTGTTGCAAACCTGTGGGAAGACTAGAGACTGCCACTTGGGAAATACTTCAGTGTTCTTATTCATATCAGAATGCATAATACATTAGCTGCACTTGTGATATTATGGTTCTGCCGATGTTCTTAAGATGTTTTGATGCTCTTGCAAAATACACAGCAGATCAGGGGGGCACAAGAGGTTCTGCTAGTGGAGAAACAATTCTATTCACTGAATTGTAGGTCCTGTGAGATTTGAATCCTGTGCTAGTAATGAGGAAAAACAAATGTGTGTACTCCTAATCTACAGATCTTTGCTTTGGAGAGGCCTGTAAATGAGTTCCACTGATGCAGAGTAGATTTTATTTCCTTCCTTTGTGTAGTCCAAATAAACTAGTTCATGTGAGGTGAGAAGACTTCACCTTACAGTGAATTTTGCTTGTGTATAAATGTTGTGCATATTTACTTCTTTTTTTGTTTTGAGCCTGCACGGATTGACTTTGTGGTACAATCTGGGGGACAGGGGGTTGTGTTTGTTTTTCAGTAGCCACTGATAGTATGCTGAGTCACCACATTGCATAACTGCTTTTGCTGTTGTTGTTTAGAGAAAAGATAGAGAAGATTAACAACCAGTCACGAGTCATGCAGGACTCTGAATCAGCCAGAAATCAGAGTTTCACAGAACTGATTTCAGAGCTTCGAGCAGCACAGGTAGGTATATACCAAGCCTATAAGATAACAGAGTAGTGCCATTGCATGTAGCACACAAACACAAATAATACCATTGGAAACATGAGGAGCACGCGTGGCCCGATGCACACAGGCCTGACGTGGCCTGCTCAGCAGATCAGGATAGGAGCTCACTATCAGTAACATGCCTACATGCACCATGCACTCAGTCTGTTTACTGGCTGCTCCCAAAATCTCAGCCCCCTAGTTGATTTTTGCTGTACCTGTGCATACCTAGGACCAAGGGTCTCCATCTCTAGAGGTGGCTCTGGTACCAAGACCTTTTGTCCTACGTGGTCTTGAAGTTTGCTAGCGTACATGTGCAGCAAAAAGAGAGACTGCCTGCAGAAAATGGCAAGAAGTAGAATGCAGTAGGGTGCACTGTTGGACAGTACATCTGTCTCCATTTAACCTACAGTCTTCAGTCTCAGAAGTAAGTCAAGCCATTTTCTATACTGACCCTCTCAAGAGGCAGAGGTTTTCTACTTCTTTGACAGTTAATTAAGGCTTAAAAAATCTAGGGTTTAGAGGTTTTTAAAATGTTTAGCTTGTTTTCCCATGTTCTGCTATTGCAGGGCCTGACAATAATACCAAAATTAAAATACCTTATTGTTGCTCTGGTCAGATTAACTATTGTGATTTAATCTTTCTATGATGAAAAGGCATGCTCAGGGGTTTTGTGTGATATTCTGTGTTTAGTTTTTCATGTTTTGCTGTTTTCTCTAAAACCCAGAAAGAAGAAGCTAAATTACAAGAAGAGATAAGACGTCTAAAACAAGATAAGCAAGCTCTTGAGGTAGACTTGGTACAAGCCAGGAAAGAGAGAGATTTAGCCAAAGTCCAGATTGCATCTGCATCAAGTAAAGCACCTTCATTTTGTTGAATAATTTTACTTTTTGCATTTCAGTAAATAAATATGTAACAAAAACTTGTTTCTTACTAAAGTATTAGTGAAATGCATCTAGACCATTTACAAATATTGTCTGAACTTCTAACAAAAGCATACAGTAACTCTGTTACGAAGTATCTTCCTCTATCCAACCAAACTCTTTGTTGTGACCTTGCCAGTCTTTCACCAGACAAGGAAAAAAGATTATTGCAATTACGTGACAACACTGTTCATACGAAAATATTTATTATTTTGCATCTCAGTCCCTATTTAGTTCTTGCCCATTTTTTACCTATAACTTACACCTTGGGACTTTTTTCAGCATTCTTATCAGAGCTTTTTCCAGTTGGAATTAATGAGAGAAGGCTCAAAATTGGACTCTCATTCCCAGTGTCAGGCACCACAAATGCTAAATGCAGTAATACTTACCTCATGTCTCTTCTGAAAATGCTTGATCCCTAAATGGGAGAATTATGATCAATAAACATCAAAGCATATATTCTATGTTGTCATTCATCCTGATGCTGAAGGTCTGTTTACTAGAGCATGATCAAGACTAGATCTCCCTGAGATTCTCTTTTGATTTCTATGGTGAACTGTAAGCCATTTAGTACTGCTATGTATGAGAAAAATAAAGGGGCTTTTACAAATACTGGGCTTTTAAAATCCCAATTAGGATCTGGTTTTAAAACTACTGCAGTAACAGTGTTGTCAAAATGCTAAATACATGAAATATGCTGAGGAAGACAGTGTTGACTAATTACTTCTTCAATACATAATTACTAATAAAACAATTCTAAGAATGTTTTATTCTTGTAGGTGAGAAGTCTTATGAATTTAAAGTTATGGAAGAATCGTACAAACAGGAAATTACTCATTTAAAAAAAAGACTTCAGTGGTATGCGGAAAATCAAGATCTTCTGGATAAAGATGCAGCCCGTCTTAAAGATGCAAGAGAAGAAATTGAGAAACTAAGACTAGAGGTGATAATATCTAGCTTTCTCTAAGAAGCTGGAACTGAAAATTGTTTTTTTCTTTCAGTGATGAGTGTAATGTAATTATTTCCTTCATAATAATCCCTTTCTTTTTGGTATATTAAATTGGTTCTGTTGGACATCTTGCCCATGCTTCTGAGAACAGAAGTGACATGCTTCCCTAAAACCTTCAAATTTCTTGACCTAAGAGAAAGAACTATATTATTATGTTAACAACTAGGAACACCCTTCTTCTCATACTCTTTTCCTCCTTTTTGCTCCATAGTAACTTAGGTAACGCATTCTTTTTTCTCTTAAGTACCAGTTCTAAATTCTTCCTTAGGAAAAACTCCCTGGTTACTGTAGTAGGGAGGAAAAACCCAAAACATATGAAATCTAAAACAAAACTAATACATGAATCTTGAATACTGGTGAGATTTGCATTGTCTGCTTGTCAGTACACTAGACATAGGGTTCACAAAAACCAAACATTTTACCAGTGCTAAAATGTAACTGACCTTGGAATCTTTTATTAGAGAGATTCCAGATGCTGAAGGAGCAGCCAGGGACAGGCACCACCTGTCTTTGATCAAGATACCATCCCTGTGAAAGAAAATATTTTTATTGGCATTTTCTCTGGGCTGGACTGGTGTCTAAAAATTCCGGTGCCTATAGCTGTGACTTCATAGAAATAATCAAATCAGTCAAACTATAAAATGCTGGCATAAAAGCATAACTTAGCATGACTTGGTAATATTACCAATCTGGGAAAGAATTAAAGATAGGAATATTTTTAAATATCCAGAATATAATATCCTTGTACAGAGATCATAGAGGCTAATAAAGGTAGGAAATTCAATTTTATGTTATAGCTTTGAGTCCTCATGACCAGGCATCACAGGAGTGCGGGAACATGAGTTATCCAGGTCCTTCCTCTGATTCTGGTGCTCAGCTTTTATTTAAGCACAACATTAACATTGTCTTTTGGCTGTTTCTATATCTCATCACGTAGTGTAGCATTGCAAATCACAAACCGTTTCCTAAACTCATCCTGAAATAATGAAATGCACTGTAGCACTTTATATGACAGCTTACTAATCAAACCTGCATACTGGCAGTATGAAAGAAAGAAACAGTATTACAGGTATAAAGGCAGGAGTGTCCCAGAGCTGAAATTCTCTTTTAGGTTTCCATATCTAATTTCAGTTGCTTTGGAGAAGGAAGCTGTCATGTGGGTTTAGAGTCTGAAGAAACATTTAGTACAGATATTACCATTACAGGTTTTTAAGTGGCAGCATACTTCCATTATATTGTGTGTGTTTGAAATGCTTTTGTACTACAGGACAATGGCTCCCAATACATATATTTCAATTTGTTTTCTCATAAATTGGACAGGTTGAGAAGCTCAGAGCTGAAGCAGGAGATCAGTGTGTGCAACAGAAGAAACGTTTGCGAGACAGAGCAGCAGATGCTAAAAGAATTCAGGATCTTGAGCGACAAGTATGCAATAAAATAGCTGTCTTTCATTTAACCTTTGTTTCAGATAAGCTCTCTTAAAACCACAGTACTTTCATAAGGATAAAGCATAGCATGAAGTTCTTGTGATAAAGTAGCCTGTGTTATTGGACACTCATAAACACAAAAAGCTGCAATTATTTTCTTTGAAGAGCTCTTCTTGCTACTATATTCTAACAAGCTGATATCCCTTTTAAAATCTTTTAAAATAACTGTTTAGAGTTTCTTTAAAAGGGGCAAGAGGACAAAGGCCAAAGTTTGCAGTTTATCTTATAAGACTCCTGTCCATGTTCCGTAATTCCTTAACAGTATGATTAATTTCAGCCAAGTTGATTCAAGAGTAGCGATTTAAGTTCTATTGGATTCCTACAAAATTCATGAAAACTGGGGGAGTGGACACCTTAAAATCCATTACTAAAGAAGCATCAAATGGAAGTGGGCCTTCCTGAATTTTAGGAGGTGGCAGTTGCATTAGTTAGGGATGTGGCAAGAACCTTTGCAGAATTCTTGTATGAATATCTTATCCATAGATAAGAGAGGGACTTGTTATTAATGTTGGGTGCAAAGTGTTAGTTTTACATTATTGCAGATTACAAAATAAAAGGCATATAATCTGTTATATGAAATATGAAATGAAATATCTATTAAATAAATTTAACATTTGGAAAAGTAGAATGTGAATGCAAATCCAGAAAAAAGCATATTCACAGCATTAAGAGCCATAGTCAGATCCTTTTTTTGACTTTCTTTAGTCTATTTACATAAGATAATCTGAACCAGAGCAATATTTTGTTTAAGATTATGTGTAAGTTAGTCAGTAAGAGTTGACGAGTCTTTTCTGTAAAAAAAACATAAATGGGAGAAATATAAAATAATTCTCAATATATGCATCTATGGTTTTCATTCTTCCTCTTCAAGGGAATGAAATTTGTTAACATTCTATCACTTATTTCTGTTTCCTTCTCATTAGAACTTTTTTTTTTTGGCCTTTGACTTAATTTTCTTATTAATAGATCAGAGAAATGGAAGGAATTCTAAAAAGAAGGTATCCAAATTCTTTGCCTGCTTTGATTTTTGCTGCTGCTGCTGCTGAGAAAACAAATGATCTTTCAGCTAAAACAAACACAGTTGAATTTTTGGAGAGAAGAATAAAGAAATTAGAAACAGAACTTGAAGGTAAAGATGATGAAGCTAAGAAAAGCCTTCGTGCCATGGAACAACAGTTTCAAAAAATAAAGGTAAAAGTTGAGTAGTCTACTTTGCAAGTAACAGTCACAAGGCAATTAAGTCTAACACAGGGTGGTGGTTAAAACTGAAGGCAAAGACCACATTCAAAGGAAGAAAATTACTCAGAGAATTCAGAACTGAAATTTCAGTACCTTCAGCACCTAAGATAAAAATAGCATTGAAATTGCTAGGGTAGTATTGAAAAAAAGAGGACATGTTCCCAAGGCATAATAATTGAATTCTTACAATTAAGGTAAGTGGTTTTCACCCTGTGGGTCAGAGTAGCTGTTTCTCTAATTCCTTGTTGTACCAAAGGCTGTTATCTCAAAGGTCTGCTGACAGCATTTCTGCAGGGAACATTGGGAACTACTAAACATACTGTCCAAAAATTACATGACTGTGAGCCTAAAGACTCAGGTTAGGAAGCGTGAAAGTCTGGCAATTTACTTCAAGGAAAAGGTGAAATTGCACAGGTTCTTAATGAGCAAAACAGGAAAGCATTGGCCAGTTGTTCCATCTTTTCTCCATGAGCCACTCATGATACTTTCCTCAAAGGCCAAGCTATTAAGAAGATTAGGTTTTGCTCAGCTCATTAGGAGGAAAGATTCTTTGTCTTTCTGAATTCATACTTCTATCTTCATGCTTACTAATACATAAAGAGAAAGATCTGTTAAAAATTAGGATGTTTTGAAAAATGTGAAGTACAACTTTGAACATGTGACATGAATGCCAGTTGACATATAACAAGTACATAATGTCAAAATTAACATTGGTAGCATCTGAAGAGAACTCAATTACATAAAAATGAAATATTTTCTTGTCAGTATAATTGTCTATCTCATAGTAACTGCATCCATTGTGATTAGATTATTTTGTTGTAAATTTTTGAGTAATTCTGTTTTACAGCAGACTTAATTATTTCACTCACTAATTTCTGAGCTGATTGAGTAGTTTGTTAGTAATCCTGATTTATATTCTGTCTGCTGAAATCTTTCTTCAGAAAAAAGATTTCAGCAGACAGAATTTAAAGAATAATAGGGAGAGCTCATAATAACAGTACACTTATGAAACTGCTTTTTTGTCACTACTTTCTACTCCCCTCCTAGATACAGTATGAACAAAGACTTGCAGAGCTTGAGGAACTACTTGCCTGTGAATTTATGAATGAAACACCAAAACTGAATGGCGATAAAGCCACTTCTGCAGAACTTGAACAGGAGCTTCAGAATCTAAAGAAGACCCATCAGATCACTGTTGGAAACCTCCAAACAGAAATTGAAAATCTTAAAAGTCAAAATTCCCAATTAAAACTCAGAAGTAAAAATGATAATAAAGACTTAGAGTCCATGGACTCTAAGATGAAACAAGGTAGCACAAAAGACAGGTTGTTAAAACTAAATGAAGAGCTGGTCACCAAAAATAGAGAAATACAAGACCTCACAAAAACTGTGGAGAAACTTCAAAAAGAAAGGATGGTGATGTTGTCTGATGATAATTTGAGAAATAAAACAAACACTAATGGGAACTCTACCGAGGTCTTGAAAAATAATACCTCAGCAACAGATAAAAGAAATTCCAACAACACTGAACCCTGTCTAAGCATTTTCAATGATGACAAAATACACCAACCACATACCTTTTCTGATTCTCATCTCTTGGAAGTTTTGCAAGAAAATGCACATCTGAGAACGGAACTGGAGAAATTGTCCCTGGAAATGAGCCAGCAGAAGGTGCAGTCTCAAGCAGCACTGGCTTATTCTGAAAGTAACATACGAAGGTAATGCTCAACAAATTCCTTTAAAAACCTTCTAAAAGCTTTGGCAAACATAGGATTGAAGTAGCACATTAACATGTCAGCCATGTGTGAAGGTTGCTTATACCTTCATTTGTACTGTTTCTGGCTTTGGGAGGGGTTTTGGGGTTTTTTTTGTTACTTTGGGGTTTTTTTTTATGCAGTGCATAGTTCTTTCTACGGGCAAACCTGTGTTAATGCTTTTATTAATACTGCAATTTCTTATGCTTTTAAGTAAAATATCTCAGTGTAAATCATCATATCTTAGATGCTTTGTGTTGTATAGCATTAATACTTGGTCCTTGTTCTTTCCTTCAAACCTGGAGTGTGCTTTCAGTGGAATTTACTTGGCCAACTGTAGAAACCTTATACTTCACCTAGTCTCCCTTACATCCCTTCACAATCAAAGTAGAAGAAGTTGACACGCAATTTAGATTGCAACATATTCTTTTCTAAAATAGATACCTAAAAAAAGATAGCTGCATTATGATTAAAAAGCATGTGTTCTCTTGCCACTGTTTTATTAAGAGGAACCAGCAAAGATGATTGACTGATTTTTTTTTGTATCCTAACTGCCTCTAGTTAGATGATACACATATCCACCATTCTACATTTCCCACCCTTCTATCCCTTCAGAGCAAAAGAAGTAATGGTGATCCTGTCTTGCAAGGTTTTTTTATGAAATATCAAAGATGTGCTGCCTTTAACATTTTCGTTATTTTGTGTGTTCAAGTGAGAAGCTGCTGCATTTTTTAAGAACTGTCTGTAGCTGCTCTACTGCATCTCACTTTTCTCTTGCTCTGTTCAGGATACAGGAAGACGCAGCAGAATGCATTGCATCTCTGAAAGCTTCCCACCAGAGGGAAGTAGAGAAGATTGTTTGCCAGCATGCAAAGGAGCATTCTACTTCTAAAGTAGCTGAGCTAAAGAACAGAATTTCAACACAGGAGGTAAGATACCGTAGATACATTACTTACATATAGATAGATCTTAAAGTTATTTCTTTCTGTATTGCTATAAACTTACTTTCTTTGAAGTAGGACCTATTGTTTTAAAAATCATCCTGTGCCACAGTGTTCCTAGAATCCCAGGATGGCTGAGGTTGGAAGGACCTCTGAAGGTCATCTTCTCCTACTGCTCTGCTCACAAAGGTCATCCCGGACCATTTCCAGGTGGCTTTTGAGTATCTCTAAGGAGGGCAATTCCACCACTTCTCTGGGCTATTTTACAATGGTTAAAGGATAGAAAGAGCTGTTTCATTCAGATTATTTAAGAACATTTTTAAATAAGGAAAGTAACTTGAAGATTGAGGCTTGTTTCATATAGTACGTATGTACCTGTGTGCTATTTTACAGCCTATGCACACAAACATATTGGAGGCAGTGTTAATGCACACAGCATTTACATTACAATCACAGAATCATAGAATGTTACGGGGTTGGAATGGACCTCAGATCATCTACTCACAAGCCCCCTTGCCATGGGCAGGGACGCCTCCTGCTAGACCAGGTTGCTCAAGGCCTTATTGTACCTGGCTTTGAAGAGTACCAGGTTTGTGGCATCCACAGCCTTCCTGGGCAGCCTGTTCCAGTGTCTCAATACCCTCACAGAAAAGAATTTCTTCTTTATATTTAACCTGAACTTCCCCAGTTTCAATTTGTACCCATTACTCCTTGTGGTATCATGCAGTTCCTGATGATGAGATTCTCTGGATTCCGTGTAGGCCCCTTCAGATACTGGAAGGTTGCTATGAGGTTTCCACACAATCTTCTCTCCTCCAGCTTGAGCAGCCCCAGCTTTCTCAGTGCTGCTTATTTTTTTCTGTACTTCTCCTGCATTCGTTTTCAAACGTTGTCATGGTTGTGTATGCTTATGCTAACAATAAAATATTTTTAAACCTTTTTTAGATATTAATAAAACATCTTCAAGAACAACTTGGTGAACAAGAGAGACATCAAGAAGCTCTTTTAGTTTCACAGATAAGAGAGCAACTCCTACAAAAAGAGGTATACTTAAATTTCAGTGGGGGGTACCTTAGTCTTAGAGATTTCATCCTAATTCATATCAAGCCTGAAGTAATATATAGTAAAATAAGTCTTAGAAACAAAATCTTTGTCAGTTGCTTCTACATCAGTTATCCCTGAGAATGCAAAGTTTTTCTAGTGTGACCAAGAGAACAGCACAGAACAGAATGCAGAATTTTGACCTTTTTTGTCGTTAATATTTTCATTATTATTTTGTTTGAAATGTCTGACACCTGTATGAAGTTTGATCAGCAGGTTAATCCAGGTTTTCATATCCTCTGAGAGTTATGGTGGGTAGTAGTAAATAGACCACAGGACTTTTTCTTTATTCCTCTTAATTAAGAGGATTTTTGATTGCTGTTTTCAAAAGCTTTTCTTTTTTCATCCTCCAGTGCCATAAAACTGACTTAGGCAGTTATATTCCTGGCTTTCTCTTCTGCGATCTCTGAAATTTATTGTGTCTTAAGGGAGAGTTAGCTATAAAAGTTATGAAATTCAATGGGTTTTGAGAGAAGTATAGAGTTTGTTTTTTTTCTAATCTTCTACTTCCATCAATAGCAAATAATCGTAAGTTTATCTTTGCATTTGGGTTAATGCTGGATCAAATTTCTGTCCACCTTTTAGCTCAAGCTTTTAGAATCATTGGCTATGCATTAGTTGTTCTTTAAATACTGTCAGTCTTTGCTGCCATTTCCTGTTCAGGAGGAGGATGTAGCCTGTCTCAGCATTGTGTCTATACTTCATTCACCATCTCCTTGATGTATTAAGATCACTAATTTTAGTTTAATTTTGATAATACTCTAACTTGCAAGGGTTATTAAAAGTAATTAATCTTAATCTTACTACACTCAGATTTATCTGGGTATTTATATGACACAAGCAAAATTCCACCTCTGGTGTGATGTATTTGTATAAAACTGTGGGTTTTTAGGGGGAGAAAAAAATGTCCTATTAAACAAGTTCTGTGTTTGCAGAATAGAGGCTGAGACTAAAGAGCTTGTTTCATTCCAGTGGTGTCAGCATATGTAATACGTCTTCCAGGAAAAACAGGGCAAGAGTGCAGTGAGACAAATGTTATTGCTTCCTCTGTGAATGCTTTACAGATTATTGACAGTGATGGTTTAAGAGTGTGATCATCCGGTCTGACTCACATGGTAGAGGCCAACTTCAAGCTGCTGGTATTTAAGAAAATGTAAAGGAGTGTCTTTGTTACAGAAATCATTGCAAGACTGTACAGAGAGAAATATCTATGTAAAGCCTTGCTTTCTAGCACAACTTCTGTGCTGCTTTTAAAATACATCTCAAGCATTAAATGGTTAAATAAGTTTTGCTGAGAAAAGAAGACAACCAGACCTACAAATGGAAATAGTAGTGATAGGGGAAAGCACTCACTGGTAACAGGATTGAGTCTTCTGTCTAAAATGGTGGTACGTCAGAAAAGGCAAAGTTTTTCCTGAGGCTTCTTGGAAGATTGTTATTTGAATACTAATCTCAGAAATGCTGTTTGTGGATGTTTTCCATTAACTGAGTACTTCCTTTCCGTAATGGCTTGCACGTAGCACTGCATTGTATTTGGTGTGGTTCTGTTGCTGGTAAAATACAGAGCCTGTTTTCTCCCTGGGCTTTTTTCCCCTTGTGAGATCTTTTCACTATGTTTTTTAATTGTATTTAACTATATACTTGAAACCACACATCAGCCCTTCCCTTCAGTTGGACCACTTAGCAGCCAAGCAGCAGACACTTAGTTGCACAAACCTTTTGAAACTAAGACTTCTGCTCCTCAGATGAACATGGCTGAACAGGTTCAAAACTGCTGGAGTAATGGACAGGCAAAACTATACTGACATAGGCCTTGTAATTTCAGAAGGCCACCTTGAAATGTCAATTAATAGTAAGCTGCCTCGGAGTCACTTCTCAGTAAGATTTATAATATCACATGAAGACACAAAGCTTCCAGCTAGCTGAATTCGCAGCAGAGGCAAGGATGACTGAGGGCTTGAAGAGGGGTAGCAGCTCTCAAATATATTGGCTAAGGGAAGCTAAGGACTGTCATAAAAGATAAAGATGCCAAAGTTTTCACTTTAGTTTATTTCCACACGTTAAGAGTGACCAAAATACTTTGGATGTTAAATGAAGGAATATCAAGTCCTTTAAAGTAGGCAAAGAATGAGAATAAACCAGTAGGGCTTTATAAGAAAGCTTCCCGGAATTTCTGAAGGATTAGGAAATCAGTTTTAAGTCATTGTCAAATTATTTTCCCTGGTAATTATTAAACTTACATGCAGTTTCCTAATCATGTCTCTTAGCAGCATGTCTTTAATTAATTTAGTTCCTAGAAATACACTGGTATCTTTTATATTTGGTCTTTATCTTGGGTGTCAGAAGAGAAAGTGTAAGAACATCTAATCATAATAGTCTCTGTTAACTTTTGTTGTATGAAGTATAAAATGTGACAGAACACAATCTCTTCATAACATTATTAACAGGACTGGATTTATCAAAGAGGACTAGACTTTCATGTCCTCAAGCTACTTCTTAGAAATGAAAAATCCTAAGTCCCTGAGTCCCTGTTAAAGCTTTTGAACAAAGGAGATTTCTCTTTTATGTCTTCCTTTCTACAGCTTTTGAATGTAATGATTAAACAATGCAAATACATTTTTAAGTAATCTGATTTATACACTACCCAACACAATGATAACAATTTTCATCAATTCTCTTTGATTGTAGGTGACAAAATTGTTGGAAGAACTGAGAGACGCTAGAGAGAGCCAGAGTCCTGAAATGAAACATTTCTTGTGCCTGGAAAAGAAAATCAAGCATATAGAGAGCAGACATGCAGAAAGAGAGCGTATAATTCAAAAGGTATACCAGTGCATAGCTGCATTTACTTCTCAAGAGCAATTTATTGGTTTAACTGTAATTTTATGGTATTTATTCAGGCTTATTTAGCTCACACTGCAGGAGGAAAGTAGTTTTTATGCAGCCATGGTTTTGTCTTTGCTTGCTAATGCAAGTGAGTGCAGGTGGAGGCCTGGTCAGCTTGACCCTGATGTGCTAATTGAGATTACTTGTGTAACTGCCTTGCAGCCTGGTCTAAGAAGGTCTTGGTGTTCCAGAGGGCTGCACTCCAGACAGACCTCTGGAGACAATATCATTATTTCATACTTGAGTTTCACAATGAAAGTGAGCTACTGAAAACTGACAAGAGTTTGGAGTGCAGAGTTTAATCTATGATATTATCCTCAATTGAACTGTAATTATCTAGCCCTTGTAGCCCTATTCAGAAAAGCTACATTAAAAGTATAGTAATATCTTATTTTATTTTAAATTTTAAAATCAGATCTCAAGGAATATGCTTTTAATATACAGATTTTTTTGTTGTGGAAGTATTTCTTCTTGTACATTGCTATATCAGATGGTCACTTTCTTTCAAAAAAGACTTGTGCATAAAACAAGTAATTGGATTAAAAATAAATCCTACTGCCACTGTTTTTGGGGGTTTTTTTTCGCATTCTGTCCTGCTAAAGGTGGCTGTAATACAGTTCATTTTTTGCTATTAATTTGCTTTTATATCATGTGAGAGTGTCTTTACTAGTAATTTCTGTGAAGTGTTGGCTGCTGCCTACTCTGTGATCTAGCTCACTGAATACCAATAATATTTACTAAGATGTTTCGTAATGTTTTGGGCATTTTTTAAAGAAATAATAATATACATAATTAGTACTAAATAATTTCAGGTTTTTGTGGTGCTCCTGCCCTTGTTATATATTAAGCTTTTGGGTTTTGTTTTGTCCTAGTTTTTCCCCTTTAACCATCAGCATTGGGGCATTGAACAGTTGCCCAAATGAATTATATCAAAATAAATAATGTTGAAAAGGAAATTACTGAGCATGAAGTTAACAGGTTATCCTTAGTATCAGACTACAAATATGATAATTATGGCCTTTAAGTGATAGGCTCTCTTTAAAAGATCTGTTACGATTAATTGTGGTGTGGAGCTTTTGATATCTTATGACACTTCTTATGTTGTGTAACTTAACATGAATCCCATATGTCAGGGATTCATGTTAAAGTTATTCAGACCTTTATCTACAGCAGCATCAGATCTCTGTGGCTACAGGACATTTTCTGATAATTCATAGAACTTGTGGGTTTTAAAAGTAGATTAGTAGGCTACAACATGTCATTCAGATTTAGTTTGTTTTGCAGAGCATTATTTTAATTACCACATTTAAGTGGAAATTCAAAAAGCTAATTTTGATTTATAGAAGGTTTTATGTTATATGCTCATCTTTGCCTTAAATATTCAGATTTAATTACTGCTTCAGAGAGGATAAGTTAAATTCTCCTGGGGCTCATTAGTCAATAATCAATTCTACCCTTCTGTCATTAGTGCAAATATTTAAAGGAATTCATTGCAATCAGAATGATTTTTCTAATATCCGTAACAACTTGCTTCCACTAAACGTGAGAATTCAGCTTTGAGACTGAGCATCAGATAAAATGATGTGGCAGATTTTTCAAAGTGGCAGCACTGCCTGGGCGTTGGCATAGGAAGTCGCAGTGCTGACTTTCTTCTTTATTTGCAGGCAACCCAACTAGGACAACACATTTCTGAAGTAAGGCAAACCCAGGAGGCTGAGAAGTGGCGAAAGCTGGCACAGCAGAAGAATCAGGAACTGGAGAAATTTCGAATAGAGTTGGATTCAATACTGGATGTTTTACGTGAACTGCAGAAACAAGGTGTCGTTATTCCTGCACCTGATTCCAGTGGATTCAGAGTGACAGACAGCTGTTAGAAGACATGATTAGGTAGTAGTTAAATAGAGAAGCAGAATTTTAATATTCAAAGTTATGTATAGAAATGTTATTGAAAATCATTATTGTAACATATATTAATTGTATTGCATTCTGGTCTTCTCTGGAATCTCTCATGTCCAGAGGCAGATTTGCATTAAGCAATACTGTATGTCTTCTATTTTATTAGTAATAAATTTACATATTTATTAGTAATAAATTTTACATATTTTTAATAACAGGAATATTGAGATTATTCCATAAATTCAACTACCATTGAAAAGTTTCCTTTTTCACAGACTGTAGAACATGCCTGAATATTTTTAAGTTTGTTTTCTAACGTGTCTTATAGTAATTCCTTTGTGAAAAATTTGAGTAGTAAGCATTTTGGTTTGGCTATGTTTAGTGTATAGCATTGATGTATTTCATTCCATAGGACAGGAAAAGCATCTTTTTCTAACATTTGCTTCTCTCCCTCAAATTAATATAATATTCCTTCCCTTAAGACCACTTTGCACTTTAGTGAATGATTGAAGGGCTGGAACAGAGCAGGCATTCCTGGTGGTGCTCACATTCAAGCTGTTCTTTGTTTCCTTTTCAGATTATTCCAGCTGTGTTGGTAAGACTGATGGCAGAGTGGGTCTGGCTAAATTCTTACAGGGCAGATACAGAAAAAAACCTATAAAATGCAATGTGAGTATAGTTATTGGTGTCCCTTTTAAAAGGGAAGGCTGTATTGATAAGGTTTTTACAATGGGCTGTTCAGGATCTGACACAGTAAGTACCTCTGTAGGTGATCTTGACATGCTAAGAGACCAGTCAGATGTGAAGACAGTGTGCTAAAGCTTAGACTTCAGGGATGTGTAGGCGGGGAAATTTGGAATTAAAATATTGAGCAAGATAGGAAAGGGGCCAGGGGAAAAAAAATAAAAGAAAAATAAAAAGCAGAAAAGGAAAAAAAAAGCCACCCAACCAAAAACAAGACCAAAATACCAAATGTGGAGGTAACTTCCTGCTGAACTAACAGGCATCATGGCAGGTAACACCCTGAATGTTGGAGGCTGTTGCTTTCTCCCTCTCCTCAGGCCCTGCCAGTTACACACCTGTGCTGTAGAGCTGGTACATAGGAGCAATTCCTGCTGCAGCACAAATTTGTATCTTAGGGTGCTACACTTTTGGTCTCTTCTTTCAAGAAAGAGATGGATGCAGTGGAGGGAGAGAAGAATCATCACTCCAGGAAATGTAGCCCTAGGAACCTCTGAAGCCATAGGAACTGCACTTTTCCAGAGAGGAACCTGGGGGGGATGATGAGCATGGCTATTACACTTAACATATATGAAAAACCTGCTGCTAAAAGCAAGAAGCAGCATTTAAAATGAAGGAAATTCATAATAGATGATGATAGCTATTTGGTGGTTGGAAGGCATGCTTTCCCAATAAATCAGTAGATTATTAGTTCGAAGCTTCAGTGGCTGCAAGTCCTTAAGAATTCCAAAGCACAATATTGAGGTTGCATCTCAATAATCTCTACTTATTTAGGGCAAAGAGAAGATGAAAGCTAGAATGTACTACTTAGGTCCCTAAGGACCTGCTGGATTGGTTGAACATAGTGTAAGTCAGATGTGAAATAGTTCAGGTCTGTGCTTGTGTGTTTATGTATTGTGTTCTTCAGGGACCAGCAGTAAATGGCATTTTATCTCACAAAAGCATGTGGCATAGCATGCATATAAAACAAAAGAGTATAACAAATTATACCATTTAGTGCAAGGATTTTTCTTTTTGGCACATACACAAATATAAAATGAACCTGTATACACATATACATAGATATTTAAAAAGGATGGTTGGTTGCTAATTAATATGGAAATCTTGACTGTTTCATGTTCAGATGTTTTCAGTGTTTTTATTTGGCCACTATCTAACAAAGTATTAGTCTATATTTATAAAATGTGTAAATATAAAAGTGCTTTGTATATAAAATATAAGCTATGTGTAAATATAATGCATTTTCTTGATTTGGGTCTGTTTTGCAAATGAAAAGGATACAAATTTAATCATTTCAACTAATTTATTTCCTTTAAAATTTGCTATATGTGTAACACTGTATTAAAGTGTGTGACCTGAAGTGAGAGATGTTTTTTCTACTATTGCAAGCCTTGTGTTCCCAGAGAGGCCAGGTCCCGGATGGAGGTTCCTAGGACAGGAATCCTAGGGGAAGCATTTCTAGTTACTGTAAACTCTCTCACATGTATGATGCTAAAGTCAGCAACAGAGGGTTGCCCTAATGTTCATGCAGTTCATTCAAAAACTTTTTATAGTTCTTACAGTCAGTTCTCAGCAAATGCTGGTATCTTACATGGTTGGAATTAAATTCTTTCTCTGAGTCCCATTTTACTGAGAAGGGACGGTATTATTTACCATTACTGTAAGCTATCAGATGGTTTTTAACATTTTCTTACAAGTATTTCTGCAGTTGTACACTGAAGCATGGTCTTCAGTTTTTAGGCATTTACCATGAAGTGGTCCCTCTGCACAGTAACAGACTCTCTGGGCTTCAGTGGCTGCTGTTAGGGTGACCTTTTAGAGAACTAAGATGTAAGTTTGAAGTTCTCTTCTGGAGTTGTTACTGACTCTCTGAGGATTTCAGTGAGATCTTTCAAGAGTTCTATAACTATATACTCCTGATGTGTATATTTTTCCTCTTCTTGTGCCATCCTGTTTCATCATGCATTTCCAGGAGGCATAATGGATGGATTAAAAGAATTAAATGTAGTATCTTTAAATCATTGCCTAATGCTTAGCTGGACTTCATCTGTTTACAGCAAAGCAGCTAGAGTATAATAATTTGAATTGTCATGTTTGAAGCTTTTAAGAAATCATGTGTACAGCTGGCTAGGTGACTCAGTGACCTAGATTGCTTCAAGAGAGGAAAACATGATGTGAGAAAATGATCAGATTTCATCATGGCACTTGGGGCAGAGACAGCAGCAGTATGTTCCATTTCCAGTTCTATGAAATACATGTCAAAATTGTTCATGTAACAAATTAAATAGGTTATTGTGAATGAAGACTTTATTTGATAGCACATAATACATTTTGAAGTCTGCCCCTCTATTCCATATTTAACCTTTTCTGGAAAGTACAAAGAAAAATATACCAGCACTAGCTGTGCCAGTCCACTTCTGCAAGGAATGAGGGGGTTATGTATCAAGTGCTGCCCTGACTCTTGAACAGAAATCCAGTGATATCTCTGAATTAAAAGTAGCATTTCAAATAGCTAACTATATAACTCTCATCCAGAAATAAGAAAGCACAGGCTTCTCTTGCTCTCATTGAGGAACATTTGGTAGAAGGTCCTTCTCTGCTGTCCTTGCTACCTGTCAATATCCAAGGCTAAAATGTGGCCAAAAAATGTCAGAGTATTCAAGGTGGAGGGCTCAGGTGCATAAAAACTTAATTTCATTACAAAAAATATCCTATTCACTTCACCTTGCAGTCTCAGAGACTCTATGGCTCTGGATTGTAGTAGAGAGGTTCACAGTTTTACCATTCTCTTTCTCTTCTCTATGAGTAGGCATTTAATGATTTTACATTATAGGTTGTGAGGTTTTGCCTTTTTTTTTTTAAGATACACAACAAAAATTGTTATCTAGAAGAGCATTTTGCAAGTATTTACCTTTGAAAACTGGGATAAATAACTTGATCTAGTAAGTTCTTCCAGAATACAAGACATGTTTAGGCAAACAAACATATATAGCTGTGTCTCTCTGCAGTTAAAGCAGCTGCAGGTAATGCATTTATATTGAGTTTTGAGAGGAGGCTTGAGGCCAAGCACTAAGAAAACTCACAAAAATTCCATTTTCAAACACCATTAAATTCCAAGTACTCCTTTTGAAGATTGCTCTGATTAGAACACTTTCTATTCTAGTTTATAGTGCATCAATGAGTTGATTTTCTGAGAAAAGATGGATTTTTTTTTTAACAGGTTATATATTGCCCTTTTCCCTGAGGCAAGTTATGTGTTATTCTTTAAAAAGGGAAAAAAAGGAAGGACAACCTTAAAATAGCTGCTTTTGAAGACTGCAGAACGTTTTTGTGTTTGCCTGGCTCTGCTTTGAGGCAGAGCAAAAATCTGAATCAGACTTGCTGCCACAGTGTTTCTGAAGTGGTGTGGGAGCTCCACAGCGGGGACTGACAGGTTATTTTTCTGAGAAAAGCAGCATGAAGGACTTCAAATATAGAAGGGAGATAAGATGAAAAAGTAGATCTGTCATCAGGAAAGAATAGAAGCAGGAACCAAACACTTAAATAGCTTTACAGGATTAATACATGGTGCAGAAGGATATTAACTATGCAATTCAAATGTGTTGTAAGTTAAGTTGGCATCATCTCTGGGTCATTTTATTAAGTACTGTTCATCTAGGCATTATTGCCAATATCCACTTTTTCTCCCCAAAGTAGTAGTTATGTACCGAAGAAAAGCCACTGAGATTTATGGTAGGAGAAGAAAAGCATAGGCTAGCCTACAGGGAGTAGCAGCATCTTCTTTTTCTAAAACTCCATCTGCATTATTTTGAAACTTTGAAACTTTTGAGAATTTTTCCCCCAAAGGGGTTGTGAAGCAGTGGAACAGACTGCCCAGGGAAGCAGTGGAGTTATCATCCCTAGAGGTTTTAAAAAGCCTTGTGGTGCAGAGTGAGATGATTTAGACTGGGACTTGGCAGTGCTGAGTTAATTGTTGGACTTTATGACCTTCAAAGTCTTTTTCCAACCTAAATGATCCATGAAATGTCGTTTTAAATGGCTTAAAAATATCCTTCATTTCTCAGTTGTAAAAGAGATGGATTCCATGTAGATTTGTCCTTCCTTCAAGCAGCATTGCTTTCAAGACAATTGCTTTCAAAACAATTCCATTGTTTTCAAGCACGGCAAAGGAAAAAAAAAAACAAAATAAAAATAATAGTTCGAACATTACTGAAGGCAGCTCACTCATCCAGAAATCGGCTATAAAAGCCCCATTTAGTACAAGAACCACAGTGTGTTAGCAAGAACGCTATTGAGCTTCAAAGCTTAACAATCAGATAGCTGATAGTTACTGAGGTGCCTCAGCAGGAAGTAGATGCCATATTCAGAGACAGATTTCCCAGATTTAGGAAAAGGAAAGTCCACACTACAGCCTTCATAGTTGTAGTTCTGTACTTCCTGTGAAACAAGGCCTTTTCTCCACTGGAAACATTTTACTGGAGCTGTGCTCATTCAGAACAGGGTTCATGTCAGTCTTCTCTGGGAGCTATTTTCAGCAATAACCTGCTAGCTTTAGAGTCTCTGCTTTATTCTAAGTGTAATCCTGTTGCTTTAAACACTAGCAAGTCCTGCAAAAATCATATTTGAAAACAGGAAATTGAGTTGTAAGTGGTGTGTAATAAGGGCATAGGACATAAAAACAAAAGATGTTTCCTTGCACTCTTCCTACACAATTTGTATTCTTTAAATGGTCAACCCATTCACTCTTCTTCCTATTTGTAAGGTGAAGAAGGGGTGAATTAATCAGCATTTTAGTGGCTGAAGAATGTATCAGCAGGTCTCTAACCTGGAACACAGATGTGTTGGATACAAAGCATGTTAATTTCAGGAAAATCCAGTTAGGCATGTGTGGAATCCACTCTTTTCATCTCAATTAGGAACTTCCTGCAGAGCATATTTGAAATCCAGCAAAGGGCTTGAACCTGGTACCTCTGCATTTTATATGCTTCCTCTAAAACCATTCAGCCATTAGTTACCATCTTTTGAAGATAGCTGAAATACAACTTTTAAGTACTCTCAAAGGTTCAGAATTGTAATTCCGTCTCTAAAAAATAGAGATTGAAACCATACCTATTCAAATCCTTAACAAATCTTTCACTGGGAGAACAGCTGGGGTTGCAACACTCTCCCAACTGAGGACAAAAAGAAGATGGAGCAAACATAGCTTAGCTACACTTAAGGAGTTGGTCCTCTCAGCTCAAAGCCTGCTAGCACTTCACTGGCCAATGAGTAAAGAAATGACTTTTTGTGAAGGCAAAAAGCATAGGAAGGTTCAGCCTATTAGCAACACATGGCATCAGCTTAGCATAACACCACCGTTTGCATGTAGCAACTTTATTGGCAGAAAAATAGGGTTTTTTCTTATTTCCTGTGATGTAGCTACTTAATACTGTAATTACTGAACTGGAAGTTCACATCAGCAATTAGCAGAAAAAAAAAAAAAAAAAAAAAGGACGTCAAATCACAGTTTGTGTTTGTGTGTAGAACACTAATTCCATGACATCACAGGCAGCTGCTGAGGTGTCATTCTGAAGTATAATTACTGGCACCTATTTGCTTTTACTCAGCAGCAGGTGGTGATAGCATTTTGTAAACAGTGTAACCAAACAATTTAATTTGCAAGGTATTCCCTCTGGAAGCTTTGTAAATTTGGTTTAACCTGCACCAAAAAGCAGTAGGGCTCAGAAACTGAAGTTAGTCCCAAGCAGGTATTTATTGTGGTGCTCAGCTTCGGGCATCCTTATTGGGAGCGGCATTAACTACAGAACATCCTCAGGGGCTTCTTCAGTCTTCTTTGAGATTTACACTTTTCTTGGCCAGTGAATTTTAAGAGACCTCCCAATGCCAGGCTCCAGCCTTCACAATCCTCGTAAATTATTATCCTTCAGAAGCTGGTCATAAGTAGTCATTTAAAAATGAAGAACAATACAAGAAACAAACAAACAAAAAAATAATAAAGCAAAAATAATGCTGGGCAGAAATTTTAGACCACAGAAGGCATCAGAATAAAGCATTCAGTGTCTTACTTCTTGTCTAAACGGAGTTCTATCAGTGTACAGCCAGTCTTACGTACAATAAAAAGCACAGGTCTGAAATACCTTCTGTCAAAAGAGCAGGAGGCCAAGAAAAGCTTCAGACTGGACAATAACAGCGATGTTTGCCTTAAAGTAAAAGATTTTTCAGTCAAGGATCTAATGTTAAGATTGCATAACCAGTTTGCTTTACAAAATGATTGGTGGCTCTGAGATGAGGAGATCATCCTCACCTAATGAAGAGTTCTGCTCAGTGTTCACAAAGTTAGGAATGTTAAATTTTGTAAGACAATGTAGGTCTTCCTCAAACATTTCACTGCTCTTGGGAACTTCCTGGAAATGGGTATTACTCTCCAGACTTGGACCTTTCTGACTCTCTTTTTCTTTGTTCATATGGTCCACTTCATTAATGCAGAAATGAAAAAGTGACTGGGACTCTTCAGCCATTTGGTGAGAAAAGACCCTCTCGGACTCCAGAGGTTTTCCAAAATCTGCCACAAAGCTGTTCATGTGAAATCTTTTTTCAGAAATTTCTGCATTGCTATAGAGGAAAAAGAAAAATACAGTAAACTCAAAAGTAGAACTATTTGAGTTCTTATCAACAAGTTTGGTATGATTAGGAGAAAAGGAAACCCTACAGTTTATCTACCACAGACTTTTAAAGCCAGCACTATATTATTTTCTGCTGAAGCAATTTTAAGTCTTCATTTGTCATAACAATTTTCCATGGGAGTCAGTTAATGCCAGCACTGTTAAATGGCACTTCTAGTAATCCATATACTGTAATAATCACCTCACTGAATGAGTTTATAAACACTCTGGATTTCAAGTAGTAATAATTGTTTTAAATGGCTCATAAGAACATAAAGTTTTAGAACGTAAGTTTTAGGAAAGTCTTTTAGACAAAATGTTTCTAGAGGCACAGGCAGCTCTGCTCTCACTAAGGACATTGAGTGCTTGTTTGTCCAAACATCAAAACCATCTTTTCTGCTGACTTCAATCGATGACATTCAGATTCCAACTTAGGTGAGTTGGAACTAAAGACTGCTTTAAACACCAGCAGTCTTAACAGTCCAGGCAGCCCAGGAAGGATATTTTAACATGTTTTTTGGCAGTTTTCTTTATAAATCTTATCTCAAACCAGCAGCAATCTGCATCGACTCTTGTGGAAGCCATTTGCAGCTGGGGGTGAGAAGATCTCAAGGTAGATAGCAGTCCTACAGATTCGTTCTTTGTCAGGTTGAATTTATATTCTATCATCACAAAATGCGAGTTATTTGCCTTTGGAAGGCAGTAGAGGTATTCAGAGAATGAGCAATGAAACATGTTCTCAGAATATGAATTTTGTTAAGAACTAATAAATCATACTGTTTACATCTGGAGATGTAGCAAATGATGCTGAAATCTGATAATTGGACACCTAAAGGTGCACCCAGCATTGAAGAGTTTTTCAGTGTAATTTCATTTCCTCAAGCCTACAGTTATGAGATAAGTGCCTCAAGATGACACCTTCAGAAACCTACCCACTAAAATTTTCACATGATACCTACCATTAGTCTTTCAGGCACAGTTAAAGATGCCTGCTTCTCAAAAGTTAATTTACATGATGGGGGAATTCTGTCCTCAAAAAATCACTTCCACTAGCCTAGAAATCAAGTTCTCTAGTTTGTCGAAACTGTATTGGCTCACTCTGCATTTCAAAGGGAACAAGGTAGAAGAATAATTTTAAATTGATGTAAGACTGACCAATAACCAAGTAAATAATCTCTGGTATATACAGCAGGGGGCAAACAGCCTGGAACAATTCTGAACTGACAACTGACATTTATGTATTTATAATGCAGTAAAAAGCACCACTCTGAAGTTAAGTTTCATATAAAATTTGGCAAATCTGTCCCAAGAGTTTCTAGGTAGTGTTGCGGCACAGGCAGCAGAGGTGGCAAATAAGCACAGAAAGAATAAGCACTGTAAGCCCAGGAGGAAGAAAGTTTAAAATGCATCCACTACAGGAGTAGAATTACTTCATGGGTGTGGAAAGTGCTTCATAATCCAGTGAACTACAAAGGACTGAAGACTGACCATGCAGAGGGGCACACAAGATTGACAATGGCAACCTAATCTTAGTGGAAGATGCAAATAAATTTTACAATGACCCAGAATATTGAGGATATATTATGAAGCATAAACCTATGTTCATGAGCAGGGAACACATGATCTAATATACAGTGATATTTTTGGATTTTGAAATTCACAAACACCATCTTCGAATTTCAGAGCGGAATTTTATTACATTTTTTTAAAACTAGGCTAGAAACTTGCATAGTCTTGCTCATTACAATCTGCAAGAATTCCTCAGCATGTATCTTTTCAGATCATTCAAGAAAAGCAGCTTCAAAAATCCCAGGTTTACTTAACCAACATCAACTGATTTCTTTAAAAAAAATCCAAAACCAGTTATCTAACATTTACTGCTTTAGAATTACACCAGCCAATATTTTGTACAAATGTGTTGCATGATCTCTTGCATTTGTTGCATGAATGTGCTTTTAGGGACGTTTTCAAATGCAGAAACAAATATGGCATGCTTTCCTCTATTGAGTGATGAATGAGAGCATTTTTTGGAAATTCAGATATTGCCAATTTTTTTTTTCAGTTGCACAAGCTAATGTGCCACACATACTTATATATGCAAGTGAACAAAAAAGAAATGCAACAGACCATTTCCATAGTTCATTAAATTTCTGCCTGTCCCCATCCATACCCTGTCCATTCAGGTCGGAGAATGTACCTAATTCTGAACATCTTGTGTAATTTTGAAAAGTACATCCTATCGTGCCCCTTTGTATTGAGCCAAGAAAAACATACTACTAGTGGAAAAAAATATCAGAGTATTCTACTTTGGATCCATCCACCTGAGCCCAGATACACTTAATCTCTCACATTAATGGTATTTTAAAGAACAGCCAAATAGCCTTACTGAAGTCGGAGATTTCAGAGACTTCATCCATCAATCAAGCTGGCTTTCTCCCAGGACCTAGGAATCCCATTAACATCTATTTCTAAAGGTCGGCTCAAGGCAGCCCACTAATGAAACACCAAGCCATGAAGAATCCAGTCAGGCATGGAAATAGAAGATGCAGGCAAACTAAAACAACTGGTTTTACAGGTAGCTGTTCTCCAGTTATTAACTGTTATTAACGGTATTAACTGCCCTTAACGTATTCTCAGAGGATCCATGTTCAGTACCATGAACATTTCATTACCAAATGTCAAAAATAAAATGCTCAAATTTGTAAAGGTGCCAACTCAGCATACATAGCAAGTGGGCAAGCACTCAGGCACACAGCTCCCAAAGCTGCAAAGAGATCTATAACAAATACAGAAAGGAACAATTGGTCTTGCTCCAGCAACTGAAGAAGAATTCTGATTACATTATCTGAATGTAGAAGATGACCAAAGGTGGACATTTCATAAACTCTTTAGGACACTGTTCTGCGAAAATTGATGAAAAAAGTGGGAGATATTGAGCAGGCCTCTGCTACCTGAAAATAAATTTTTATAAGTGTAAAATTTTGACAAATATCTATATTAAATTCTCTCTATATATGTATTTTGACTTCATCACTTTTTCCCCTCTCAAATTGTCCACATGGGATCCAAACTCATGCTTAGCTAATAAATAAGATCTTTGTGAAAAGGAAATGACATCTCGAGTAGTAGCACTGAAGTAAATAGTGTTATTGCTATAGGAAGCAAGGGGAGATAATATAAAACAGCGCACCAGTAATTACAGGGATTTAAAATCTGTTTGGGAGCAATGTCTGGCTTCTTCATAACAGTCTGTAGGGGAAGCAAAAATACCAGCACATCAGTTCTGGTAAGCTGGATTCTTCTGACTGTTTTCTTCTCACAGGAGCAAAACTTCAGGAGCACAGAAGAGGCTCAGGATGTACATCAGGCATCTCTAATGTGGCCCTGTCTCTTGAGATGTGCTATTAACATGGAGTTCCAGAGCCAGTTTAAATGTGATTAAATAGCAAAGGGGCTCCAGGAGGCAGAGACAGGCTGCTTTAAGAAGGGATAAGCAGCAGCAATTGCCTTTTACAATCAGCTTCTCATCATTGCTACCTGCCTGCAAGCAATCTCACGCTCCAGAGAGGCTTTTTATTTCCACTTTATGGCACACAATCCTGAGGGGAGATGTGGGTTCAAACTTTCTCGGAGGAAGGGACGCTGACAAGCCTGCATCCTGTGCAAATGCAGATAAACCATTGAGGCAAGGCATGGTCTGCACATACTTATCAGCCAGAAAGAATAAAAAAATAGAGGACTTTCAGGGGACCCTGGCTTTAAAGAAATGTTGAGCTGGTCTCTACTTCAGCATCTATTGCAATTTCTCAGCAGAAACTAAGACACTCATGTCTCAGGAGTTGGGGGAAGATTTTGCAAGCACTACCCAAATCTGTCTTTGGACTTGAACACACAAACATTTGGAAACCAGCCAGGCTTCAGCTTCCTTAATTCAACATCTGCACTGCATTTTATTTGTATCTACTTTGTTGATATTCACAGTATCACTCCATGAAAATTTGAGCCTACTTAGAACCATCCTACCTGGTTACAATACAGTAATCTAAAGGCACCTGTTTGGCAGCCTACCCAAAGCATCCTTTTAGAATGAAAATGTGAAAATTATTTGAAATTAAGACAGGCTGCACTGTTTCATAAGAGCAGACTGTAACAAGATGGTACAATGTCAGCACTGTCACTGCTTGCTTGGAGGCTGCAAGAGCCCAGGTGTGCCACTTAGCAGGCTGCATTTCTTATTCCCATTTTCAGACTCACTCTTGATGTGGTGCTCCTGTCTTCGTCAGCAGGGTCAGGACAAAAAACATGAAGATGACAAAAACTGCAAGACCAACCCAAAATCCAATCACAATGGAATCTGGTGAAGAAAAAAAATAAAGGACACGAGATGATTAATATTTAACTTGCACTTGCAAAAAGTTGTCTTCTACAGGCAGCATGAGCACAAACCCAAAACAATTTGCAGGTTATTTCTAGGTAACAAAGAGAAGGGATAATCAAATTTATCTTTATCTATTTTTAAACAGAAAGCTGCTATTGAAAGTCTCATTTCAAGACCAAATTTTACTGATATCTCAGACAGTAGATAACAGAGGGAAGATAATTCGCTTGGTAAGTAAAATAAGAGGAGCTCCCTGTGTGATGCCAGGCCCATTTCCGAGCATTGCTTTGGAACTTCAGTGCTAGAACTAGGAAGGTAGGATTATTTGATTTTCTTCAAAATCCTCTGTCTCTGTAGAACTGAACTCCTGCTATTTTAAGTTATTTCTGCCCAAAACCATAATTTGCTGGAAATAAATGGATTTTTGACAAAATATGTTTAGGAAGACCTTTTAGTGGCAAGACAGAGAGTTCTGCAAGAAACAGAACCACAGATAAAACTATTTCCTAATTCAATAAATATCAATAACCAACAAATACCAGATGTTTTTGAATCACTTTCAGTTGGGTTTCCAACTTAAGTACAGAAAACTGCAACACAATGTCAGAGGAGTGCAACAGATTTAGACAAAAAAGTCAAACCAGCAGTTAATCAGTAGGAAAACACCAGTGCAATAGTCAAATATAGCAGCCACTGAGAAGAGCATCATGTCCTTTTGCCTGTAACTGTGCCTGTGCTTAAACTGTATCTCCTCTTCTCATTTATAGCAAATGGACCATAGGCAATTTGCCAATACTACTAAAAACAAATCTGTGTCCACTTACAACTTCAAGGTGAATCCACAGTTGCTCAAAGCTGTTCAGAGTTTCCAGGAACCTGATTTAAAGAGGTTCAAGTGGGACAAAGATATTCCCAGACACAATCAACTGATTACCATGGACCAAAGTTACAGGGCACTAACACTCAATGTTTTACCTGGCCCAGGACCCATCAGCACCCAGGTTTTTTTCACCTGTCATTTCAGTTAGTGATTCTTTGCTTATGCAGGTATTCAAATATTTCACTGTAGAAGTTCAAAAACATTAACATAAAAACATTCAAGAGGGAAGGTTTGGTCAGTACAGGAATCCTTTCTACCCTTACCTCTCATTACACAGCCACTACCAAGCCTCAGAGATCCTCGCTGGCTGTAATGTTTGACCCAGTGCAGCAGGAACAGCACAGAACTCTTGAATTTCCTACAGTCCTAACTAAAGACGCTGAGAAAATAAGGAATCCACTACCCTACCTGGTGCTTGGCTCCGATAAACTACTGCTCCCACAAAAATCACACCTGCTATTGTGTGCTGAATAACAAGCCTTGTTTGTGGTTGGTTTGGTGTCCCTGCTCCCAACAAAATTCTTAAGTTTACTAAGCCGAATGCTACATCTTCCTTGCTTTATTGTGCTTCCTTACACACTTCCAACCCTCTGCTGTATAAATTACATTGTTTGAATTTGTTTAAAATTCAAGCAGGTATCCTGAGTTCTCTTCAATATTTCATTTAGGTCTCACTCACTTCAGTGAAAATTATTCAAACCTACTAAATTCTAAACACTTATTCAAAATTAATAGTACATAATCCAACTTTTGTTCAAAAAATATGGTAAGAAGGACATTTATATTGCCCAAAGTTACAAATAGATATTCATAGGATACTTGTACACTTTCAAGTTGCAGTTTTAGCCTTCCTTTTCTTCATAATACAGGCTCATAACATCCTGGCTGCAGTTCCAAGTCCTCTGATCATTGCTACCTATTTTGCCTCTCACTGATGTTACTGAGGTTTCCTCATTTTCAAAGGCACAAAAAGTTATTTTGTTCTTATCTCTGTCAGTCACAAGTATCTCCTGGCTATCTTTGTCTACCTACTTTCTAAAGCTTTAATGTACAAGATATCTGGTCCCTACTTTTCCAGATTTTTTGATTTCTAGTTCCTACCTTCACTTCTTTTCCAGCAGAACAGCAGAACATACTTTTTCCTTTTTTTCTTTTTTTCTTTTTTTCCTTCTTTTGCAGGAATATATTTGAAACATCACTGTGGCTTTTTTTTTTTTTTTTTTTTTTTTTTTTTTTGTGTAGTAGCTTATTTTGTCAATCCTTTTTCTCACAGGTCACTTGGAATAAATTTTTCTCTGTTCTCAGGAAACAGGCTTCTGAATTCCTTTATATTTAAATCAAATCACCTAAACTAGAGTCCATTCCCTGTGGATCTCTCCAATATAATTACAAGCATTTATTGACACCTTTTCTTTGTAAGTATTCAAGGTCTCCCTTCTCATACAACCCTTGTTTAATCTCCTCTCCTTCTCCCCAGTTTAGGATTTTGGAGAAGTTCATGTCTGGTCACATTGCCTCCACATTTCACAACAATCTCAGCTCAGCTGGCAATAGCTGGAACAAGAACACACCACGTCAAGAAGTATCATCCCGTACACAACAGACTATTCCTTCAATAGATTAAACTCTTCCCTCTGGGGAATGCATGCAATAACAGTGAAGGAAACAGAGCCAACTCCAATCTATCACTTAAAACAAAGAAGCATACAAAAATTAAAGAAAATCCACCATAGCTAGAAGGGACTTCCTAGATCACTGATTCAAGTACTACTAATGACATCGTTCACCAAGCTCCACCTGAAAAGCTGTTGTTACTTCTGTCCCATTCTCTAAGAGCTGACCAGAACCTTCTGTTCTACGAACAGCAGACAGGGAAGCTCAAGCTGCCATGCTCAGCATGGCAGTCACTTTGATGGCAATCCAAAACCTGATTTGCAGCTGTGCTTTCTGCAATTCAGAGGCAGATGTAATTTATACCTTTTTGGTCCATCTTGCGTGTACATAACATTTCAGCTGATTTTTGCAACCAGTAATCTTTGCAATCAGGTTTAACCTCTGATTAAGTGGAAGAATGGAAGATAAATTAAAAACATGGTGAAAGCTAGCCCACATTTTTCAATTACCTATCACTTGTAAAAATACAGACAATGATCGGCAGACTTTTTTGGGGGGAAAAAGTAAAAAGTAAATTCTACTCTATTTTTTTTCAGAAGTGTTAGTAATTTCAACAAGTTTCTTCTGTCCCTTGCAGAGCCTCCCCAAAACTTCTGACTGTGTAGAGGCAAGAGAGATCAGCCTTTCTGGGCTGCTGTTTGCCAGCGCAGGCAAACTTTTTCCCAATCTGAATGCTCATGGGGCAAGTGAGACAAAGTACGTAATCCATCCTAGACCAGTTCTCCAGCACTGGATAGGGGCTCTTCCCCAAAACTTTAAAGGTTGGGGATCAAACCCTTTCACAGTGTATCTGCCTCAGAAACAAAGAAACAGGATGGTTTTTTTTTTCTCTTTGGCTTGCAAGACCCATCAGGTAATTGAGTTGGTTTCTATTATTTTTTTCCCTCTCTTTTTTTGTTTGTCCCTCACAATTATCTCCTCTAAAAGGAAAGATCATCGAATCCATTGTATAGTTTTTAGAACAATGTTGGTCCAGCTGTACTAGCTTGTCCTAGTTACACTTTCTCCAAGTTCCAATCCACATTTTTCATCTTTCTGGTAGCTAACCTCCATTTTTTGCTTCTACTATAAAAGAACTCCCGTATTAACAGAAAAGTGAATTTTGCACACTTCCTCCAATGAAAAAAGTACCAATGGTAAGTTTGTTCATACGGAGAAAATTCTTCTCTTATTTTCAACCTTTTAAAAACCAAAAATTTATTTTCTATCATTAAAAACAAACACTGGTAATGCAGGTAAGGCTCCCCACCACGGCCTTTTTACCATTAATAGAAACAAACACAAACAAATAGAACAAAGCAAAACAACACTGATCTTAACAAGTAGTCACCAGAAGCAGCAGTGTATCTGTATTTGTTGTTGTTAACTTTTCCCGACAGTCAGATATTCCCCAGTATTGATAAATTCCTACCATGGCAAATAAATCCATGGTTTTCTCATGCACAAGAAAAAGTCAACAAAATGATACAGAATAAAAAATAATAATGATGGTCTAATAAATAGAGGGATACTGCTAATTGCAGAGAATCCTACATACTAGGAGTGAAATGTTTTTGTCCCAAGTGAAGAATAGCAACATGTAGAGTGGAAGCTGAGCTGCATGAAGGGTGTCTCTACTGAACTTACACTTATGAGCCTTCAGGCCTTCAAATGACACTGGTCCATACTCATAGTACTCATAGTCCCAGGTGTAATCAGAGTTCGACAAGGCCTGCTGGGAGGTTCTGTTGGAGATTAGCCTCAGGGCAGACATCTTGCACCTCAGCAAATACAGACCTGTGGATATGAAATGCATTAGTGCAGACTAGACCTAGCGCAGCTTTTGGGTTTTTGTTCTTTCTCATCTATTGGACCACTGTCTCATCAGACAAGGCTATCCCATCCCCTCCCATTCCTTCCCCTGATTATAGACACAGATTCTGGGGCAATCAAGGCAACCAAGATATTTAGGGAGCTGAAGCACAGGAGGCACGAGAGCCTAAGGGTTTGTTCAGCCTGGAGAAGAGACAGCTGCAGGGAGTCCTCAGTGCTGTCTACACTTGGAGGGTGCAGAGATGCTGCTGGCCAGGCTCTTCTCAGAGGTGCAAAGTAAGAGGACAAAAAGGAATGGACAAAAACTGGGTAACGGGAAATTCATATTAGATAAAAGGAAAAGTTTACCTGATCTAGTCAAACATGCTTTGAGTAGGAGATTGGACCAGATGACCACCAGGGGTCCCTTCCAACCTAAATTTCTCTATGCTGATAAACGGGCTCAATATGCCACTACAGAAGGAAAATAAAATTGGAATGATTTCCCTTACAGATTAACAAAAACTGCAAAGCAACACTGAGCATCATGAAATTATCTTAATAGGTATCTCTGTCATTACCACCATTCTGTACTAGAACCTTGCATTTTGCAGAGTAATTTTTTTTTTCAGAATATGAGACAGTTTTATGCAGACCAAAAGAAAGCATATCTCTGCACAAAACATGTGCTGCAGTAGCTAGGGTCAGGAAGTACAAATTGAAACATATTACAAAGTACTTTTTGTGAAAGCAAGCTGAGCTTTGGGTAGTTCTGCATTCAGTTAAAAGCCAGCAGGATTGACTAATGCTTCAAGTGCTAGGAGAGCCGCCATAAAGAACAAAAAATCAGGCACGAAATAAGAAACACTTTCACTTAGGTAATGTGAACAGCATTTCAAATTTGTAAAATAGTTCTTTCTGCAGCTATTTTACCATGACCAAATGCTGGCAGTAATGCCTCAAAGCAATTTTAAATAAGTAGTATGCCTGAAAAAGTAAACTTCACACTTAAATACAATGTTCAGAACTTTAAACACATACCAAAAAATTTGACTGGCAAGTTATAAAGCTTTTAAAATAATAAATGGATCTATTTTTCAATCCAAACTGATTTTGTTTTCAGAATGTGCAAACTGATAGCAGGAAAGGTGAAGGCGTGAGCTGGGGAGGGAAGTGACCAACCCCATTCTTGGATCAGGACAAGAATTCACTGCATTACCCTCACCTTCCCTTAGCCATTCAGAAAGTCTCCAGCATTAATAAATAGCATGAAGCACAGAGGAGAAGGAAAAAAACATGGATATTGTGGGCAATGCAGTTCAAGGCTGAGGATGTTTCCCATCTTGTACTTCCAACCCATTCAGAATGGACAGAGGGAAAGAGGTAAGTCTAACTAAAAGTGCCTTGGCTTTTCCATTTCTTCAAACTAAAGAGAAAATATCTAATCAAGCTTTAGACAGAAACTTTCTTATTTTAATCAACTAAACCAACTAACTTCCTGCCTCTGGGAGAAGGAAGTGGCACAGAGAAAACCCTAGGATCCCTGTCCTAGTTTGCTCCCATCTCAGCTCTGTCAGTTGTTTATTACAAGACTTTGTGTTTCATTTTTTGACAAAACACAGGGTTCCTACCATCTTTTTTCCCCCTTCTCCTCAATGTTTTGTTGATGATGTGCCTCTTGACAACATTGATTAGTCCTGTTTAAAGGCTGTTTTTCTTTTTTATAACTTTCCAGAGGAGCCTTTCATTTAAATATTCCTCACATGGCATCACTTATGGCCATTGTCACCTCCCTTCTTTTAGTACCACAAAATGAGCTGAAATCCACTTGCAGAAAACTTCAGAATAGAGTATAGGAACAATCTGAAAAATGATGTTTCTTCTCACCTCAAAGCAGATGGGATTCATTGGGCCACATGCAGAGCTTTCTCCCATTCTCGTCACTAGGGTCCATTTATGATTTATGGGGAGGATAGCCACTTCCAGGACACAAAGAATCTGTCCCAGTATAGCATTAGGTTAGGATTAGAAGCTCCAGCTTTTCACCACTAACTGCATGCATGTGGAGACTTGCTTTCACAGTAGACAAGCCACTATCAGAGGGAGAGGTGCTAACAAAAAGTTGAGTCACTAGCTCTCTGCCTAATCTGTGCTTTGAAGGATATATAAATATTATATTCTTCTAAATCAACCAGTAGAGCTAAGTATAAGCACTGATCCAAACCAACTTTCAGCTCACTTTGAAGCGTTGTCTATCTGATTACCTCCAAAAACACAGCCTCAAATATGCAAAACCCTATTACTCTTCTTAAAAAGCCAGTCAGTCTAACATGGTGGTACAAGGACAAGCACAGTGAAAGAAGTGACTATTTTGACCTTGCATCTCCTGGGTAAGAGCAAGGCAGGCTGAGCTGGCACAGTAGGAGCCTGTTGGGTGCTTCTGCTTGGCTGCAGCAGGTCATGCAGGGATTCAGGTAAGAGGCAAGTGCTTCTAAGAAGGAATTCCTCCAGTAGATGTTCTCAAACACTCTTTCTGTCAGACACAGAGAGCCATGATTCATATCACAGCTCTGGAGCATCACACAGACCTCTAATTAACTTGGCTGAGAATTTTCTGGGAAGTACAGGAGTCTTTTGAGGCAAACATGAAAGCCCCTCTATTGATTTTGATGTGTATGGATGTAGACAGGTTTCCTCACTCTGGCTCTCTTCTTTCAGGAGCAAGTCAGGAATAAAAAGCTTCACTTTGATTATTCAAGGAACCCCAAAGCAAGACTGTGTTCAGTGCTGCCAACCAGAAATTTTGTCAAGTTGGTATCCTGGAAACTAAAAAGGGCAAGTGCTCAGGGCTTTTCTTTGGAGCATTTATCTCTGCAGAAAAAGTAACCAGATGTTCCCCATGGAGACCCAACTGCAACTCTTGAATTATGCCTTCATGAGAACTTCTTTGTAACTTGTGTGAAAATCTGTAAGGTCTCAGCTGGCCTGACAGCTGCCAGTGGCACCTAGGCAAGCTAGTCTGGCTGTTTGTGTTTGCATAAAACCCATGGCCTTGAACAGCAGCAGCAGGATATCAAACACTGTGCAGCTGAACTATTTTTTCCAATCTGGACATCACTGACGCATTGCATGAGACTGAGCCACTTACTTTTCAAAGTGAAAGCAAAACTGAACACACACATCTGCAACATGACTTCATGGCTTACACCACCACTGAGACCACAAAGTCAGATCTGGTTGTGTGTAGGTCTGAAACTGTCCTTGCAACCAGCAGCAACTCCCTCCGAAGCTGACCTGCATGCACAAAACGAAAACCATGTGGATTGTTCATGTACTGTTTGCTTCTGGAGCAAGAGAAACTACCAGTATGGTAGACAAAAGCTTGGTGAATTTTCAGGCACAAACTCCATCTATTTTCCACATACTTCAATTCTGTTTAGTGCCACAGAATCTAAGCACTCAATGTTTTCAAAAGAACAAAGGAACAAACCATTGTTCTCTTGTAAACTCTGAAGATCCAAGACCCAGACAGGGGAAAAAAGAAGGAACATTTCAAACTGTGGGAAGTCCCAGGCTGAGAAAGCTTAGCACTACACCCTGGTGCATCAGCTCCATCAACTAGGCAGTACAGTTAACCCAGAAGTTGTTTGCTATGAGAAGTTAACAACTCAGACTGTTGCCGTATATTCCATGTTCTCATACCAGCACCAATATTGTGCATGAGGGAGAAGGGAGTCAGCCACCCCCACATGCCTTTTTACTCCATCCCAAAGACTAGGAGGTGAAGTCAGGAAAAAAAACCAAACAAATGGAAAAAACAACCACAAAATTATTCACACTGCTGCACTGCATCAGCTGAAAAGCAATAGAGACCCCATCTTTCTACAACCCTGTACCACTCCCAAGACAGGAAAGACTGCAGGAAATACTCTACCTAAGGGTTCTTGTTTCTTGCTAATTCTCAATACCCTAGGTGGGCAGGGTTTGAGTTCAAATTTGTGGATTTTTCGGGGGAATATCCAATCCCATCTGCAATAAAAGAAGGGAAAGCGGGTAATAAAAATGAGTTAAACTTAGGGGGAAAAAAGAAAAAGAAAGAAAGATATCTGGAAACTGACTTTACAATTAAAAATCAATCATGAATGCCAACACTGATACCTAGACCTTTTCTTGGAGAAAAAAGAAAGTACATTGTTAACCGTGGTTATGTTTGTCACCGATGTTCACAAACAGCAATGTCTGAGCTGTTGCACTAAAGTAACAAGAATAATGTTGGATTCATCACAAAAGGATAACAGAAAGGAAAAAAGCTGGTATAGTTACTGCTTAAACTGTGAACTAAGGATGAGAGATTACAATTACATACATCTTTGCCTCATACCACCATATTACACATCATATAACATGCAGTGTAAACTCCAACAACAAACTTCTTATGCATCCCACGCAAACTCCACACCATTATATACAATTTGCATGCTAACTGTATAGCAGCTGTTTGTACTTAGTTAAAAAGCAATGCAATTATGACTTTAAAGTGAAATTTAATAAAGGCTAAAGAGATTTGCCAACTATTTTCCTATAGACAATAACAAAATAAGCAAATAATAATGCCCACTTAGCAGTCCAATTCAGTAGATGCCACCTGGAAGTTAAGGCAGAAATTAGTATGAAATCATACCATACTATGAGTTTCACTGACAACTGTGTGGTTCTAAAAATGAATAAAGCAAGTACTACATACTACCCACTCATTAGCCTTGTCTGAGAAGGCAGATGAATTATACCTGACATGGTATCACAGACCACCTGTATTCCTCGTGCTCTTAAAAAGTGTCAGACCTGCACTGACAGTAAAGGGACATGGAGCTGCTAGCAGGGAGCTGCTGTGACTTCTTCCCAAAACACACTGAGGCTTAGCTTAACTCCAGTACCAAAAGCTTTGGATATTGCAGGCAAAACATACAGTCTTAAGAGGCAGCATTTTCTAAAAGTAATAAAGATTAGCCACAATTCCATTTATTTCCTGCTTCTAGGGCAGGATTACACAATCAGTACTGAGCCTATTTTCCTCTCCTCACTAAAAGCTAACCTCCTCTTAGATGTGCAGGTACGGCAGCTGTAAATCCAAGTTCCCTCAAGACTAACCAGACTAGAAGAAGCCCTATCAGTAAGCATTAATGTACAGACACTTGTTCAGTCCTACAATGTTATAAATGCTGACATCAGTGGTATAGGTACATATATTCAACACTTCCCAAAAGAAAGGCTGCCTTTGCCTTAGCTATTTATAATATTGCCTATTTTAACATTTTTCACAACAATTTTTTAACCTCTCAGGCTGACTTGTAAAAAACCCTGAAGTGAAAGAGCCCTGGCATATCTACTAATGAGGTAAGTTTAAATAGTAAAGCAAGTTTTATTACATGTTTCTTTTTATTAGCTTTATTCTCACAGAAAGCTCAGTACTGAGATGGGGATGTTCTGAATTCCTTTCTAGCCCTGAAATCTATCAGTCTGATGCCTTTTTCTAAGCAGAGAGAAAGGAAAGTTCCCTCCATTCGCTCTTACTGAACAGCACAGTGCAGGAAAATTGGAATGGCTCCATCAGAATATGACCTACCTGTAAGAGTTGCTTTTAAAATACCTCCTATTTCTGGTACCATGTAAGAACCTAGTCAAGAAAAAAAAAAAAAAACACCAGAAAAACAGTCTCTACAGAAAGGACAGAACAAACACTGCCTTTTTTCTTTTCTTTTTTCTTTTTATTTTTTTTTTTTTAGTAACTAAAAGATGGAATTCAATTTGAAAGAAAAAAAAAAAAAAAACAAAAAACTCACTGAGAAATTATTTCAATGCAGAGGGTTACCAAACTAGATTGACTCAAATTGCCTAGTCTGCAAGTCATGAAGAAGCACTGGAAGCACAGTGTTCTCTCTAGCCAAAACACCAAAGGAGCCAAAGAACAGAGGCACCCAGGTGTTTCAAATAACCCCACCTAAACCAACCATTTGTAACAGAGGCAAGGCTGAAGGCAGGAACTACCCTTGTGTGATTGTTCTTGGGAAACTCAGCACTGATTAACAGCTAAAATTACCTGGGCTCCCTTCGTGTCCGAGACCCAGAGATGCCTGGAGATGCCCCGTGGCCGCCCTACCCACCTGCAGGGTGCCAGGCTCCGGGTTTGTGCAGCTGCCTGTAGGCTTGCACAGCCCAGACCATGGATGAGGGTGATCAGGCCTCATTTCATAGCTCTGTTTTAGCTTTGCATCAGTGAAAAAGTCACCACAGAGCTGAGGCTGACAAGCAGAGTGGAAGCCAATGAAAATTTCCTCTCTCCCGTTACAAAATAATTCTCTAATCTTCACACATCATTCATCTGGTCGAAGCACAGGCCACAGCACGCTTCCCATGGCATCTCTTCACTTCTCAATGTTCTCCCTGCAGAAATGGTTCTGTTCCCAGCCTTGCTGAAGCCAGAGCAAGATAAATCAGCTGGCAGGGATGAAAAAAAACCCCAAACAAAACAGGTATGATAGACTATTTATCAGAACTACTCCCACACTTGGGTATGTCACAGCTGGGGTTTTACTGCTATGGTGGAAAAATCTTCCGCTTGTGCTTTCAATCCACACAGGGGCTGGAAGCCATAATCTCTCAGATGCAACGCAACATATAAGCTTTTTAATTTGAATCACATATGACATTTCCTCAATAAGTAATAAGACAAAATTATAGAGATTTTCTTTAAAATTTACATACCTATATGAGAAATATTTTCTTAACTTTTGTAGTTATCCTACAACGTAATGCAGAAATTCCGCTTTAATTGGTTCAGTGACAATATTAAGCACTCACTGAAATGGAGCTGTTCATCCAATGCCAAACTGGTCTGGGATTGTTTCAAGCAAGAACTGGGGGATTTTTTTCCCCTGTCTTCAAATCTAAGTCTTCCCTCCAGCACTGCTGATGAAGGAGCCAACAATCTATTGTAGTGCCTCAAATACAAATTTCTCCTCAGGTAAATCAGACAGCAGTACACAACTCACAAGCACACATTTGAATTTTCCCATTCTTATCCCTGCCGTGTCTCTGTCTTATAAATAAGTAACTAGATGCCAAGAAAACATCACTGAACCAATACAACCACAGCCCACTGCAGTGAGTACACAAAATAAAGCCTTCATTTTTTTGTAATAAGATTTGTCATATAATTTTGCCAGTAAGAGCTGCTATTATAGGTACAAAGTCTTTAAATTTCATTTAAATTCTTGAACAAGCTGCAAAGGTATCATCTGTGCTTCACTCAAAACCTTTTCCATGATGAAGTGTACATGGGAAACTAGGGAAAGAGTAGGCAGTAAATTACTTTGTCCAGCTATTAATATTCTGGGGTTTTTTTCCTTAAAAAAAAAAAATCTTGCAATAGCTTGATTTATTTTATATATATTTGGTTGTGACTGATATACTCAGAATGTCTCATTATTTTTGACAAGAATGGAGCCAGGCTGTCCTCAGTCAATGGAGACCTGCCATTCCCCTGGTATTTTTCCAGGCATTTACTCCTGTGGTCAAAATTATCTTTACTCTCTGATTAAGAACCTGAATAGAAAGCCACAAATGGACAAGAAAAACAACCAGAATTGGGGACTATTACCTGATTATCTCTAAGTAGAAACCAAAACATCTGTTTGCTTCCACAGCAGTTACATAAATCTGCACCCCTGTGTGCACAGCCTCTGGGAAGTTCAAATGAGAGGAGCAGACCAAAACAGGGAGACACTCCAAGACAGAGCAGTGGGCTGGGAAACACCCCTGGAAATAGAAGTGCCTCAGTGCTCCCTCCAACAAAGTCCAGGCAGCCCTGTTAGGGCAGTTTGAGGCAGCAGTGCTACTGCTGTCCCATCTCTCTCTGAGCTACGCCTGTCATGGAAGTGCCAAACTTGTGGTGTGTCTACACTTCCAGTCACTGTGCAGCTTTATGTGCCAAACAAGGCTGTATGACAGTATGAAAAGGCAAATGTCAGGGAACGGGGACTGCTCAGAGAAAAGTTTTGCGAGCTTGTCACTGTGGTGATTGTTTTCAGCAAATAAAGAATGTCAGGTCAGGAGAGAGACCTGAATTTACACACCAGTCATTGTCAACAAAGGCTGAAGCCAGAGGAAGAAACCACTGAGATGACAACTGTTAAAAACAGAGACTGTTAGAGGAAAAGGAAGGGAGGGAGGCGGCAGGGGGAAAGTATGAGAATCAACAGACTAGGGAAGAGCACACAAAGAAAGGGAAGAAGGCAAGATAGAGCAGGAGAAGTAATCTAAGGCTGTATGGTGGAGAGATGTTCAACCCTTCAGTCTGAAAGGACAAAGGAAGAGAGATGTTACCCGGAGGGGGAAAAAAAGGCAAAAAGACCCACAACAAGCACACAACAAACTTATCTTGGGGTTTTTTTCCCCCAAACATTTTTTTTCAAACGTTTTCGGTTCAGCTGTTAAAATCATTCAAATGCTCAGCAGTCAGTGTGCTTTTCAGCTGTTCTGCTTTTGAATACAGAAGGAATCACTCCTTCTGTTACAAATTCAGAAAGCAGACACAAGCTTCTCTACAGCCGACGTTCTCCACATCACCCAAATGAACAATGCCACCTCCTTCATTTTCTTATTATTATTATTTAAAATTAAGGAAAAATTGGCAGAGCGCTTCAGACGTTAAGTCTTGCGGGAGCCGCCGGGTCCCTGCTCCGAACAACCTCAGCCACCTGTTAACCGCAGGCTGAACTCCGGGCGCTCGGGGCTCCCCGCGCCACCCAGCCAGGAGCACCCACCCTCGGGAAGGGACCGGCAGGAACACGGCGGGGTGGGGCAGAGCACGGCCGTCCCTTTCTCTCATCCGCTCCTTCACCCTCCGCCCCGCAGCTCCAGCCCCTCACCGCTTACCGTGCCGGGCACGTCCGCCCGGGCAGATCCCGAAGCGCCGCTTCGTCCCGGCCGAAAGGCGCACCCCTCCCGGGACGCCCTGGCCCCGGCGAGCCGAGCCGAGCCGAGCCGAGCCAGTGCTGCGGGCGGGATGGAGCGGGCGGGATGGAACGGGCGGGATGGAGCGGGCGGGATGCTGCGGGCGGGATGAAACGGGCGGGATGCAGTGGGCTGGATGCAGCGGGCGGGATGCAGCGGGCGGGATGCTGCGGGCTCGCTCCCCGGCAGAGCCGATGACTGAGCGGCGGGCGCGCTGCCGCGGCCGGCGCGGGCGGCATGGATCCGTGGATCTGCCGCGTGACGCTCCCGCTCCAATGGGCAGCCGGGGGGAGGAGCGGCCCCGGGGGCCGCGGGTGCGTTCAGGGTGCGGGGCCGGCGGCGGAGCATCCGCTGGGAACAATATCCGCGTGTCGGTGGACGGGCCGGAGCTCGCACATCCCAAGGGCAAACATCGATTTTGGAGGGAGAGGGATGGCCCGTCTCTCCCTGGGGGGCTGAGGGGCCAGGGGAATCTTGCACACGGGGAGTCTTTGTGAGTGGGACCTGGTGGGGAGCAGTGAAGGTTGTTAGAGGTGCTGTCTCAGCTGCCAGGAGGTGGAGGGCGGTGCCCTAAATCTTCAGGGATTTGGTTCAGGTCTCTCGAGCCATACCACAGGATAGATCAGGTTGGAAGGGACCACAGTGAATCATGTGGTCCAGTCTCTCTGTTAAAGCTGGGTCATCCCAGAGCACATTGCACAGGATTGCATCCAGATGGTTCTTGAATATCTCCAGTGAGGGAGACTCCACTTCTCTGGGCATTCTGTTCCAGCGTGTGGTCACCAGCACAGTAAAGTTCTTCCTCATGTTCAAGTGGAACTTCCCATGCATGAGTTTCTACCTGCTGAAGAGCCTGGTTCCATACTCTTGACATCCCCCTTTAGATGGTTATATACACTAATGAGGTAAACCATTCATCTGAATTTGCAAACCTATGAATTGTTGCTTCTTAAACCAAAGAGACATTTTGGAATATGATATCTATAGCTTGCTCTGACAGACTCGCTGGGTATTGGTAGGACATCTGGAGATCTAGTCCTGCTAAGTCATCTAGGGTGTTTTGCTCAGGACATGAGTTGGGTCTTCAGTAGCTCCAAAGATGAAGACTGCACAATCTGTCTGGGAAACCCTGATCACTCTCACTGGGAAAAAAAAAAAAAAAAAAATCTCATGTTTAATGGAAGTGTCTGTTATTCCAATTCATGTCCATTTTTTCTTGTCCTGACACTGGATACTACTGAGAACGTTCCCACTCCATCTGCTTTACTCCCACCATAGATCTTCATCCACATCAGTAAGAGTGCCCTGAGCCTTCTCTAAGCTGAGGGATCACAGATCCCCTAGTCAATGCCCACACATCCAGGCTCTTCATCATCATCATGGATTCTAATAATTTTCATGGCAACCAAGTGTTGTAAGGAATGACATGGCTTCAGTTTTCAATCCAGGCTAGGAAACTAGTCTGAGACATCACCAATCCAACAAGGCAGCCAGCCCCCTGCAATACCCACCCTCTAGTGTTAGAGTGGATCTTTGCCAATGCTCTGACACTTGTTAGCACTGTCTTCATCTGTTCCTTTATTCCGAGGACCTGGGTCTTGGACAGTACTGTCCCTCTCCAGCAATGACCATAAAAGCTATCAATACTGTCAACTTCATCTCAAAAACACACAACTGATGCTTATGCATGCTCATGATTGTAATCAGAAATATGAGTAAGCACAATGGCAAGTCAGGAACTTCCCATATCCTGCTATTTGCACTGCTGTTGAAAAGGCAGAATTACTCAGGCTTTTGCTCATTTTTCTGAGTCTTAAAAATAATTAGTGTTCAAATTATCTCTAAAAAGAGGAAGCCTCATTAGCCAATACTCCACTTCCAACACATATCTGCTACATCCTGTAAGAAAATATTTTAGAGCTTTTATACCAAATGCAAAGAAACCAAAAACAAACCACAGACTAATGAGTCAGAATAGTAGCATTTTTCTAAAGATTCAAAATTTTGTTTCTAACAGTTCTTATTAGTGACTTAATTAGTGAATTAATTGCTGTTCAGTAATAGCAATGCAGCTGAGATTGCAGCAGAAGAAACACAGTATTAATGCCTGATGAGATATGGAACTGCAGGTGCACAACTGCAAGTGTAGATAAGGACGCAGCACAATGTTTTTTCCATTCCTCCTGTCATTTAGTTTTCTGACTCTTTATGCGCATCATTACTGTCTCTTCCTCTTAAGAGGGACAGCAGCGGGAATTTTTAAAATGCAAAGGAATTCAGCTGAGGGAAGAGGAGAGGTAGCACAGGAATTCATATTGTGGCTCACCGGAATGAGGATGGAGCTTCATCTGCAGCAGCTGCCCTCTTATGGCTCAGCAGCTGCAGCATCAGCCCCGGGTTTAGTGACACACAGCCAGAAACTGCATTTACAATTAGAGTACAAATTCTGCAGAAATTCATTCTACTAGCCCTCCTCTCTTCCCAGTTCTTTAGATTTGTGTGTAGTTAGCAGCTGCCTGGGGTTTAGCAGACACCTAGAAAGCAAAGGAAAGTAAACAACACTTCTCACTGCAGCTGATTTAGAACTGACAACAAAGAAACAAAATCCAACAAAACAACAACAGAAAAACAGTCTTGAAAGGAACATTACTAGAGAGTTAAAAGCTTTGAATTCTTTCCAGATCTGTGGTGGTTTAAACAGAAAGAAAGAGAGGAGCTTTCCTGCACGACTTACAACAATTATGACAATGTTATAAGAATAAAGCTGTATGGTTGCAAATACACGTTTAAAAAATGATATAAAGAAAAAGTTTCTGAAATTTTATCATTTTTCTGTACTACACTCGCAAAAAAACTTTTCAAGGCTGTAGATCTACAAACCAGCTGCCAAAGCTGACTTTCAATAGTATTGTTGATAGACAATTGTACTTACAAATTCAGGGTTTAAAGTTGTCAAAAATTAATTCTGATTTTTCTCCAAACTCGAATTCCTGTTTGTCATGTTTTAAAATAAATAATATTTTAATGGAAAGCATATTTTATACACCTTTCAAGATGAAACTAAATTAGAAGCTAAGACTAAAACATTTATGAATGCAGAGTGAAATTTTAGCAGAAGCCACCCCTTCAAGTTAGATGAAAATCTACAGATATAAATAATTAATTAAAAGTGGATTATTCACACATTGTGTTCATATCTTATAGTGATATCACTTTCACAAGCAATAATTTTAAGGTGGAATCAATATCAAGTGGAGGCTGCAGAAAAACTATGGGGATATGGCATGTTGTGCCAGTGGAATAGCTTCTGAGGCTCCCTCCTTGCCCATAGTAGCCATAGAGAATCCACCTTCCTCCATCGAAGCATCTTCCACTGCTCTTATGCTCAACTACTGAAAAAGCTTTTTCCTTTCCTGTTGGAGTTTAAAGCTCTTAGCATCATTTCTGTGAGGTGTTTCTTGGTATATTCTAATGGTGACTGGGTAACTATAATTACCATCCTTGACACAAGGTCCATAGCCTTGCACACGGCATCCCTTTTTTCCTTTTAGTACTCCATTTTCATTTTTCAATGAAGATAGATCAGAACTTAGACATTATTCCAGCACCAGCCACACAAAAGGTGAACATCAACTCTAATGATCCTGCATATTCCTATTTTCAGTGGGATGTAAAGCCGACATAACCACTCCATAACAGCAGTTAAGTCCTTAACTGCTAGTTTTGTCCTCAGAAACATCTCCAGAATCATAAATCTCTAGCAGATGCTCCCTTTTTCTTTGTGTGTGACCTGCAGTCTGTGTTCCTCTCTCTTCAGACTCCATGTTCCAAAATGCTTTTTAACCATATACTAAAAAAGCCAGGTCAGTTCATGACTCTGCCACCTTTCCACTGATAGCTGTTTAAAATCTGAATCAGCACCACATTTGATATGTTCTTCCTTGCATTTTAAGGCAATTAATTCTGTTATCCAAATATGGTGCAGATATTACATGTAACTTGCAATTATTTTTATGAGCCAAAGTTGTAATCTAATTTGAAAACTGATTTATACTTGTTAGATATACCCTAGTTCCCCTAAAAGTACTAGGTGATAGGCTTTGAATAAGCTCACCTCTTTACTCTTGGGGCTTAAACAGTTTCTCTGACAGCCAGCAAATATCAGTAATCAGATTCTTGGAAAATTGTCCCAACTTCCCCAACACTTACAGTTACCTCCTAGAAACATTAAGTTCTGAAAAGAAAGAATAAGTCGCCCACAGCGCTTGCAGTCTCTGGTTTAATTTATTTGATTTGTCCTGTGCCAAACTTTATGCTATTTTTCCACCTGTGGCAACCTATCTAGGTTGTTCCTGTACAGATCCTCTCATTTGGTCCTTTTGGTAATGCCTTAGCACAGCATTGTTTTTCCTTGGTGTTTTGATCACAGAATAAATTATTTTGAGATGTCATATTACACCCTATTTCATGAAGAGTCTTGTTCCTGGAACAGCTCCTATTTCTCTGAGTAGAGGGGGAAAAAACCCTCAAAAGTTTCTGGTTCAAGGAAAGAGGGACAGGCAGCCTTCATTCTGATAAATTCCAGGCATTGTTTTCTAAATATTGTGTTCTATATGAAGCAGCTTTATTCCAACAAAACTACTCATGAGTCACAGGCATTATATCCGAGTTTATACTGCAGATGACAGTTCTGTCATAATTTAGCAAAATAACCTGCAGTGCCTGCCAAGCCCAGCATTAGTAAGTAATAAAACAGAAATATGCTCCATATCACTGAGATTTGAGAAGCTCCATCACACAAAGCCTTACCAGAAAGCCATGTTCACCCACTGAAATTGGTAAGCCATGTCAACTGCTGGAAATCATGAGTCCTTACTGCCCAAAGCTCCTCCAGGTTATGTTTGCTTTATTTTGGAGTCTGAGAAACAGGTAAACCTAGTTTTCTTTTACTGCCCAGATTTTGATGTGCTGTGCAGAAGACCACTTCTGCAGTGGAAGCCAAGGTAGTTGTGTCTTTCCATAGAAAGGAAACAAGGAAAGGAGGAAGCCTAAGTGCCATTATGTCTTCAGACATCAGGATCACGAGTCCTCACAGACCCTTGCACTGAAATTCAGTTGTCCTGAAGTTGCCTGTAAGGAACTGGCTGATCTGAGACTAGAGGAAAGGAAGCATTTCACTGCAAGTATCCCCAGGCTTCCTAGCAAGGGCAGCTCTCTTTGCAGCTCATCTGTTCTGTTTCACAGATTTATGCCCTTCTCTAGGCAGGGATGACCTGCCAAGCATATTAATATTGGTGTGCCTTGCAGGTAGTGACTCAGATGTCTAGGTTGTAATAGGCTTTAGTGCACATACTGCCCTGCTCAGTACATGTTCTCCTTCTTGTAGTTCAAGTCTTAGCTCAAATGGGCCTGTGAGTGGGCCATTCTCCCCTGCAGGGAAAAATGGGATGTGATCAGACAGCTGGAGAGTGCAAAGGCAGGAC